ACGTATTACTGCTTCACGGCAGAAATAGACATGGTGGTGGTACCTACCCGCGCGGACTCACGAGAGGTCTTACCACCAGTATTGGCACACATTGTTTCTTCGCTAGCGAAACAGGCAGCGTGATGGTACCTCTCTGCGGGCTTATAATACCCGAGACTTACAGGTATTAATACAATTACAGGGACGGATTATGGGGAATGGATACAGGATAGGGATTACATCCCGTTATCTACATATAAAAGACATCATAGAGTATATCTATTACAACGCATCAGTCGTCCATAGTGGAATCAATTCATTTCAAATATTTAACATCAAACCCCGGCCCCTCAATTCATTAACGGAATAGTCGATTACTTCATCAACTTTGTCTTACCTCTCAGAACCAAAAATACCCCTTTAAATTATTGTAAAATAAAAGTAACTGTTAAATTTACGGACCAGACGGATCGTTCAAATATAATTATAATACAAAAATAATAAAAATGTAATTTAAAATAAAAATGTTAACCGTTTTATAAAATGTATGTTGTAAAACAAAAGAGATGAACCAGAACATATTGATGCAAATTACACTTTGAATAACTGTATTTAATTTTGTTATAATAGTGAATTATGAGACATTAACATAATACATATTTTATGAATTTATTTATTTATCATTGCATTGTCATGATTATAGTTTATTCACCTCAAAACACGAAACAAGATGGATAATGTCTATATGTATATATTTTCGTGAGAAACTTGTTTTTTAGTATGCATATTAATGAGTTTTTTTTTAATAACTCTTCTAGTTTTATTTTGTATTTATTTCAAACCGATATTATTATATTTTACTACGTCCCAAAAACTGCTACTTTTATCTCATTTAAATTAACATTAACGGATTTATGTCTATCTATGCCCGCTAATCTCCAAATGGCTGAACCGATTTGGATGTGGCTTTAAGTGATTTTTTGAGAGATAAGCTTGGATGAACATTTATTGAGTGTCTCATAAAAATGTTTACTAAAAGTATCAAAACACAATGTCGGTGTATAAATCGCGGCTAAGTATATTACTCTTAAAAAAGCATTTACATTTGCGCGTATGAGAGAAGACAGCACGTTAGAAAGCCATCAATTTGTTCGATTTAATTATGTTCTCTAGCCGACTTAACTTAATAGGTGCATGGCTTTAATAAAGAATAAAAATATAAAAATTATATTCTCATAAATTCACGGTTCGTTCTTTAGTAAATAATATCATCGGTAAAAAAACATTGAAATAAAGTAAGCTACGATCATGAGCTAGCTAGGTGGAAGCTAACACAAGGGTCGATGACGCGTGAAGCATGACCATGAGACGACCTACCGCGAACGTCCTCGTTGGTACTCTGCCCGACCGTGACGACATTTAATACCTTACTTACCACCAGCAAAACATTATCTTGTGTTCCGTAATTTAATGTTCTGTTAGAAAAATATTGTACTATGTTATGAATGTAGCCCTCGTACTCAGATTACGAAGAATTCTTGCGTTTTAGGTAGCACCTTGGATAGGCCACTGAGATTACTTAATGGCCACGAAAGACAGTGAGCACCCATTCTTAGGTAGGCCATAATAATATGTTGGCATGCATTCGAAGGGAATTAAAAAACTAAATTCGGACGGAATCATATCCACAATTTTCCACCATCACTATGTAGTACACTGTGTAGTGAAAAAGCAAAAAAAACGATAATTTTTTAATCGTTACTTTACTAGGGGTACGCTTCAGTTACACGAATTAGGTTTATTGATATGTACTCGATGTTTTATGTTATATAGCCACACCATTTTGATCACATGTGCCAATAAAACAAAATCCAGCTTAATAGTCAGCGATAACACATCTGGATAATACGTCTGGTCTTGACAGATTTACATTTCTATCTTGCTTCTTTATGATAGGTGACTGAAGTGAAAATTTAGCGACGTGAATATTTTAATTTTCCTTTTTCTGTCATCGGTACTGTAAGCCGGTACGGTTAGGTACCTACCGCCATCCCGCATGCCATTCGCCAGAAAAAGATTAATGAGTGAGTAAGGTTGCATTTCCGAAACTACAGCATGCATTCTGCAATTGTTTATTCATAATTCGTAACATATTTATTACCACTGCTTCACATCGTTAATGATAATTGACAAACGGCGCGAATTCGTAGCGGTCACCACGCGACCGTAAGACTCTGCCAGTAAACGTCAATAAGGTAATCGCAAAACTCAAATTAAGCCGATAATAAACGGTTGACAACTCAAAAAGACGATTTTTATCAATTCTTAATACAAAGTTGGCATTCGTAAATCTATTCTTGGTTCGAAATGATCTTGTAACATTTTCAAACAATCTTTACCTCACGATCTTACTTTGTACACGGTACTTGAGTACACAAACGAAACTAAACATAAACGGCGGCTGTGGAAAGTCGATAATGTGGTTAAACAAAAGGCCAGTCGTGATCAAAAAGCGGATCGCGACATATTAATCGCGTTTGGTGTATTTCATATTTCGACCTAGTTAACATTCGGTATAAACAAAGCCTGCGGAACACGGTCGCAGACGTTTCGGCGAGGTCACCGACCTCTGTATCTGCGATCATTCCGGTTCCAAAGCTTATCGCCACAGGCCAGAGCAACGTCACAACTAGCACAACATTACCGTAACTAGAGCGGGAAACTGATTTTTCACCGCGATTCTAACAAATCTCTAACGAATGACATTAACAAAGCTATTTAGTTCAACAATCGCTCACAATTTATACACTTCGAGACACACAATTGAAGAACGTCAATCGATATAATAAAAATTGAGTGACTCATGATAAAAATACATGATGGTCTTAGTTACTGTTACCAAAAATTATAGTTATAAATTATCGAGGGCAGTAGAACACGGAATCGTTTTTCAATGATTTGATTCTGCATTTATTATGTACTACGTTACATCCAATATGTATAATTGGTCTGAAGGAAGTAGGGTTGGCAAAAAAAAAGAAATATACCCGTCGCTTCGTCCTATATGTCTTCATTTTACCGATACCAGATTTAAGCGGATCGATGCTGTTCCTTATCACGAATTGCGACGTTCCTTAAATGTATATTATCAACAAGAGCTGTCTTAGATGTTTTTGACCCTAAGAAACTGAAGGACAGTTCGAATTTTATCTAAGAATGCTAAGACACAGCACGCGTTATCGATATACACTTTACTGCTTCGTCTATATAAAAAAGGACTGCTTGAATACTACATATAAAACGAAAGTATAAACATGCTTATAAAAATATAACTAAAGCCAACTCTAATGTAACTAATAATCATCGACTGAACTACTATCTTAGCTTTCTACAATTAATTACGGTTTTAAGATGAAATATAAATCTTCTACAATACGACGCATTTACAAGTTAAAAAAAATTAGCTACATATTTGATGAAAAAAAAATATATGTTTCTGACTAACTATATGTATGTAGTTAAATAGCCTTGGGACGACTTCGACCGTCGGACCTCCAAATTACACATAACAGTGGTAGCAACGCATCGACAAAAACACGACAAGGCCTTGACCAGCAAACCCGACTCTTCCTTGTGGAACCATCAAATAAACGACAAACCATAACAATTAACGTATTCATAAAAAAATAATACGTGAACACATTTCAGCATTTTCAAACAAAAGTCTCACAAATACGTTTCAATCTCAAACTGAACTTATCGAAATAAATCAAAAACTATTTATCTGATGGCCTCACCGGATTAGCGAATTCGATATGGCTACACGAATACAATACTGTCTGAAAAATTAAATGATTATCTAAGTTACGGTAGCTGAAGAGTTTGAGGGCACACTTACATCAAAACCGATCTAATTTATATTAACTTAGAATACTTTTTAACTTCAACATAGAATTGCATTCGCTTAACCATATAAATCGGATATGTATTCCGTCAAATCAACTTTTATTATGGATTTTGGAGCCAATCCGCTTCGTTATGACTTGACGGAATACATGTTAACTAAGGCTACAATCTCTCCAACCTCAGAGATCTCGCTCGTAATTCGAAGTCGTGAATTATTAGCACAACATAAAAAAAAACTATGAAATTTACCAGTAAAATCATATTTTTATAACTATTATTAATTCATCATAAAGATTTCAACTTAACACCATATTAAAACCAATGTTAAATGAGACGTCATTTTACTGATAAATTTCCTTACAATGGCCTCATATTCACCAGTTATTCTAATCGTTATATAAATAGAATTTAATGTGCTATCATATTCAGGTGTGATAAAATAAAAACATACGAATATATGGATGTAACGGCAAGGACGAGGGATATTACACGTGCCATAAAAGTTCCGAGTGATTAAAATATTGTGTGAACATGTGGCCATTATTCTAACGGTGTTATTGTAAAGATAAAAACAAATAACAAATACCGCTATATTTTGTCAACTGCGAATGAGTTCCTTGTATACATGATGCAAAACGTAAATTTAATTAAAAATACATTANAATATATGGATGTAACGGCAAGGACGAGGGATATTACACGTGCCATAAAAGTTCCGAGTGATTAAAATATTGTGTGAACATGTGGCCATTATTCTAACGGTGTTATTGTAAAGATAAAAACAAATAACAAATACCGCTATATTTTGTCAACTGCGAATGAGTTCCTTGTATACATGATGCAAAACGTAAATTTAATTAAAAATACATTATTTTTGTACAAAACGTTACGTATTATTACAGTTATTGTTTTTAAAGATTGTTACATTATTTACACAATAACACATGGCTAACACACAAACTTAATTATTAATTATTGTTCGTATCTATTGGCCATACGTGACAAAAGAGCCCTACAGCGGAATCAGTTTATATTAGGCACGTTATAGTTCAAGTACTAAAGAAACTCACTCACTATGTTAATTTAAGCATTTGTAAATGTTGGAGAGAACTTACCATCACAGGTAGCGGCCATGAACTTGCCGTTGGCTGAGAAATCCATTAACAAAACCGTTCCGGGATGACCCTTGAGATTCTTCATAAGCCAGGGATGGCTGAAGTCCGTTTTTCCTTTCCATGCTGGGCGTTTTTTGCTTTTACCGCCGACGCGTGTCTCCGCAACGGCTTCACACGGCGGTTCATCAGTGAGAGTGCCTTTAACAAAAAAATATTATACTCGTACATGAGGCAAAGGCTTCTTGAAAATTCAAACTGCAGATTCCATAACTTGAAGCAGTCTTCGAGCTTCAGCTGGTTAGTCTCAGTATGGGAGAAAAGCTAGGAGGAGAGGGAGTGGTATTCACACATCGTGTAGTATAAATGCGATTTTTTTTCAATAACATTTAATAATCAAATTCATTCATAGATTGGAAATGATTACTGAGAAAATATTCAATTTTATTTACTTGCCAAATAATAATTTTGGGCTTGAGACGCTACTCGTGAAATCTCAATCATTTAATTAAGGCGAACATTTAATTAAGGCGTGGGGCAGCCGTTGTAACTACATTGAGACCTTAGAACTTATATCTCAAGGTGGGTGGCGCATTTACGATGTAGAGGTCCATGGGCTCCAGTAACCACTTAACACCAGGTGGGCTGTGACCTCGTCCACCTATATAAGCAATAAATAAAAATATTTTAGTTGAAAAATATATTTATAATTCGAAAAGAAACGGCCCGAACGCACACAATTGCACACTCCGCCTAATGAAGTTTCAAATTGTTACTACTATCACAATGTTTATTCTTTAATTCGTTTTGTTTATCTCTTTACATTTAATGTTTAATATGTTTTATAAAATAACATTACAAACGGTGTAGCTATTGAGCTATTGTTTACAATCAAACTTTGAATCACCTCCAGCCTTCGAAGGCAACGTGCTTAATCTTATTATGATTGCACATTGCCAATCGATACTTCTCTCGTTATTCTGGGTGTTTCCACACGATTTTGACGCTTTTTACGTATAGATTATAAAGCAACGTGTCGTATCACTCACTGTCTGTTCTGTTATCCGAAGCGATGTTTCTGAAATCTACTGTTATCACGCTTACGTAATAAATCTGTAACTTTGCTTGGACGTTCGATAATTTTTGTCTATTCAGACTGAAGTCTACTTTGAGACGCTATAAAATGATTGTCATTGGAAGCTTAAAAATGTTATCGGCTTTATCTTCCACAAAAGAATTTATGTTTAGGATGAATATAAAAAATTTAAACTATTACTTAATAAACCAGCTTTACAATATTCACTTACGTTATTTAATAGTTGGCTAAGCAATAAATCGATAAGATATCATTAAACAATAGCTTAAAACAATAAGCTTTGATTCCCGTGATAGCTGTTTTATAGTAAGTTACATATAATTTGATAAACGGTACACAGAGTGACAGATTGATATCTCTAGGGTTAGGTTTCATTCGAAAACAACCCTAATAACGAAATAACAAAAATAAATATTTTTTTCGACATACCCTACCACTGCCGATTGCATCACGTCAGAAACCAATATTAACTGTAGTTTATTGTATCGGCAATTATAAAAAGATGGACAATGTTATATTCAATTAGGGTTAACACTTCAAGAGCACATTTAAAGTAGTCTAGAGGCCCAGGCAAACTTACTTGTTACTGGTAGGAAGTCTTATGAGTCCGCGCGGGTAGGCACCACCACCCTGCCTATTTATGCCGTGAAGCAGTAATGCGTTTCGGTTTGAAGGGTGGAGCAGCCGTTGTAACTATACTTGAGACCTTAAAACTTATATCTCAAGGTGGGTGGCGCATTTACGTTGTCTATGGGCTCCAGTAACCACTTAACACCAGGTGGGTCCACCTATATAAGCAATAAAAAAAAAACATATATTTAAATCCATAAGGTCAAATCTGAAAACACTGGCAAATAGTTCGTATTTTAAAATAGAACAATATATTTTCCTAAAGTATTTTTATAACTGTACACGCCTACGCATATACGATAGATGATTCAATTTATTACTCATAAGTTCAAAGGAATGAAGCATTGGACATGTGTTTAAGGATAATGATTCACACGTTCCTAGCACATACAAAATATATTAGGCCACACTATTTATTTATATATTTATTCCAAATTTGTTGTAGTTTAGAAGGAAAAACTTTTATTTTTTTATTTTCCTTTTTTTAATTATATTTTTTGTTTGTCAGATATTTCTCTTCTTCTCAGTCGGCCTTATTTTAGAAGAGTACAATTGCATGCTCCACAATACCAATGCCAGTTATGTCGTGTTACTGCCTATGACGTGTATCGTGGAGTGTTGGTCAGTCTATCTGGTCAATTCAGCGCACGGGAGATCGTCAAAACGCAATGTAATATTATATAGATTTTAATTTATTATTGGCAATTTCTTAATTGTCCTTTTTTGAAAATTATTAGTAATTATTGTTTGAGATATTACTATGAAACTTTGAATAAAAAGAGAGTCGATTATCAATTTTAACTACATATTTAAAATATCGCCTAAACTCTTGTTTTGAGTCATGCGATGACTACTAGCCGCTGGAGAGTGGACGAAGTTTTTTTTCCTACCTAAGCAGATAGCTTTGAGAGGCTATTTCAGCGTAACCTTAACTAGTAGGTGAGCTCACGGGGCTCAAACCTGACGACGTTGCTAACACGAACCCTAGCAAGAGCCGTGCTTCGCAGAATCTACCACCGGATCGGAAACGCGACCCACTGAGAAGATCCGGCGAGAAACTCAGTGGGCTGTGTCTGGGGGTTAATTAATTAATCGCAAGCGAGGAAGGGCTCGATGAGAACGATGACCCGGGGGAACGAAGTATTTGTACCTTCACTAAAGACTTTTTTGTCGCGCGGAATATCCGTTAAGGATTACGCCAATGGGGAGAGCATGAGAACCAATACAGGTGTGGATTAGGGCTTATTGGGTGGTAAAGACTCCTATCAACTAGTAAGTATTTGTTCAACTTGATGATTTTGGTTGAATTACAATATATGTGTATGTATGTATGAAATATGAGAATTAAAATACTTTCGAAATGATACTTTTGAAAAATTTAAAGTCTATGAGTTACATTCATTTTTATTGCTGTATACAGACAAGCTAGCTCATGGCCTGCCTAGCATTAAGTGGTTATCAAATTTCTATACCCCTAGTTTTACCCTGGCTACTGACATTTGCTTCATATAGCTATGATAGACCAAATGTCAGGCAGCAACTTGGCTTTGCTTATAGCAATGTTGATGTCCATGACCACTTACTGTCTGGTGGATTGTATGATATTTGCCCCAAGGGAAAACTCTTGTTATTGTCATCTTTGAGTAAGATATTCGAAAGTGTAATGATTTTGATTTAGGCAATAAGATGAAAGAAAACCCTTCCTTTTGATGTTACCATGTTTATATATTTTTTCCTGGTTTTTATCAGTACAAAAATCATGTAAACAAATAAGCAGATATGAACACAGCATAAAATTATTTTTAAAAGTTACAAATCGAGTGTCTTGAAAGCAGTGCTGTTATGTAAGTGTTCAGTTTATCTCAGCAGAGAAAGTGACTTGAGCTCGGTTGCACTGCATGAGCAACTTTATAACTTGTTATGACTAACAAAACAACAACCGGCAGATCATTTCCAAAATCAATTAAGTATTATTTTTTAATACTTTAATTCATCTTTTAAATCATATTTATTTAATTATGATTATGCAGTGAAAGTNAAAGCAGTGCTGTTATGTAAGTGTTCAGTTTATCTCAGCAGAGAAAGTGACTTGAGCTCGGTTGCACTGCATGAGCAACTTTATAACTTGTTATGACTAACAAAACAACAACCGGCAGATCATTTCCAAAATCAATTAAGTATTATTTTTTAATACTTTAATTCATCTTTTAAATCATATTTATTTAATTATGATTATGCAGTGAAAGTATGTATTTTAAATTTTTTTACATTACATATTATATTTATCTAAGAATACATAAATGTTACCTTTAGTAACAAAAATTAGATTTAGACATATCTGTGTACAATATAAATGTTCATATTTGATTCCTCCATCTGGCATAGTCATAGTCTGCCTTGTCTTGGAAAACAATATTTGCACAGATGGTGACGATATGTTATTGTCCTAACCATAAGTTTCTGTTATTAGGCCTTTATGTGTTACTTATTCATTTCAATTTACATAAATATATATTCAGAAGCCCTGTACTAACTGTACTATTAAATTTAATAATTATTTTTCTTTCCATGCTACAATGAACTTTATCAGTTCTATTACAGAAGAAATGGCTTTGTGATACTTAATAATAGAGAATAATAAGATGCTAGTACGTATTTTGTTTTATATATTTTTGTAAAATGTAATCAATAAATTGAACATAAAATTGCATTATATAGTCAAAATTCGTACTTTTCTTATACTTTAGGTTTTCTTTAAAGAAAATTATCGACGACATTTTCTTTAAGCTTTATATTATGTAAAATAATGGGATCATTAACACATTTTTTTTGTCTATAATTAATTATATGAGATCTTTAGTTCAATGACTTACAGAGTACAGTTGTTGAGGACGTAAATTCTATGTATGTCAGGTATTCTCAAGTCAACTTTTCAAGTACAGTTATAGCATCCGCTCGCATGGCACAAAAACCGTATGAGATAGATACTAAGTACCTACTGTGTCCGTTGCCGGTAAACAGTTATGCTTTTGCGTACATACCTTCAACTTATTTGAATCTGCTAAAAAAAATTCGGCGAATTTTTTTAAAATAATTAAGAACTATTTAAAAAAATTTAGAAGCCTCTAAAATTTAATTCTAACCCTTACCAGAATTGTTCTCTCTCTCACGTTCCTCCACCGCTTGGTTCTTGTTGCGGAATATAATTTTGTAAATGAAATGCAACAAAACGCAGACTAAAACTGCAGTTGCCGACAAGAGGAACACGTGAATGTTTTGACCGCTTTCAATCTCTCCCATTCTGACTAAATTCTTTCGCGGAAATTAAGAATAGTGCACAAATTAGATTTACGATAAATTATAATCACGCGGTCACACAAACAATAACTAACCACAGATACTTATATGACTGACTGAACAGAGTTGATCGAATGAAGTGAATATATTCAATTAGTCAACCACGATGCGGCGCGGGAACACGTGCCGGTACTTATCTGTCACTGTCAAACTGTCAAGCTTTGTTTTTGTCGTTTTCTACAAGACCTGGTATTTGTGCCTTTAAGCCAAATAAGTTTTAAAATCTCAAGCTTCATAAATAAAAGCCAAACATGGAGCATAGGGCTAGATCAAATTACGAAACTAAAGATTAATGTATCTGAATATTATAATACTGGTCCGGATTTGATTCACTGTTATAGTCACTATCAAACGTAATAATGTATTTTGATTTCAGACTTTTGTTATTTTCTAGTTTTGTACAACTTCAGCATTAATAATATCGTAGAGCAGATAGCGTTTGCCTGAATGCTTAAAATTAAAATAAGTTATTCAATAGTGCATTTCATACTATCACATTGGTGAACAAAAACATTTAGAAATGAAATAAGTAATAGCAGTGCTTGCTAAATCTAAAAAATTTCTATTGCGTGCTAACTTATTTTCAAACAATATTGATGAATTCACTACTTCAATGCTTGATGCATTGCATTTACAGTTTTTAAATTCATCTCCTTTTTAATACCGTACCAACCGACATCAAAGCACAGTTCGACCTACCCTAAAGCATTGTGGTCACCCATTATGTGTTTCTAGAAATCATTTTTGGCACACGCTAGCAGATTAGATTTAATTTTCCATAGTGTTTCTTTCTCAAGTGGTCTCACGGATAGTTATTTTAAGTTATATACACGAGTGTATAAGAGTTGTAGACAGGCAGGAAATTTACGAAGGCAATAGTAAGCTCCTGTTAAAAGAATATGGCTCCAAGTAACATTATGTTATGTTGCATACTGTTAATATTGATCAAACTCAAAAGTTTAACTTAAAGTTAAAGTTTTAACTATGGCTTTATGAATTGAGTAGTAGTAGTAGTAGTAAGGTTTTTCTCGAAGAGAAAGGCAATGGAACTAAGCCATACAGCCAATTCTTAAGTTTAATATTTTCATATTTAATTTTATGTTTCAAGGCAAAAAAGCCAATTCTTTAGTATTCTTCATTTATAAATATTTTTCAAATCCGTGTAAATGTCTATTCAGTTTTTTTTTTTTTTTTCCCATTTGTTTCGGTTGAGAGTTGTCGCAATTGTGTTTCTTGAAAAATCTGACTATAAAGTCAAAATTTGTGTTTTCCATTATAAGTCTCCGAAAGTTGAGATAATGTATTCATATACTGCTCTAAAACTTGCAGGGCACTTAAGCAATTCTTGAAGAGAAGGCGGGATGCTATCCTTATAAACCTCTTGCAGTTTATCAATAAATAGGATGCGATGAATATTAAAAGCTGGACATGTGAAAAAAATATGATGTAAAGTTTGTTCTTCATTTAGTGAGCATTTATTACAATTTGGTGATGAAGTTATTTTCATTCGGTAAAGGTGAGCGCTAAATTTGCAATGACCAAATCTCAGTCTACAAATCTGTGTGTAGAACTTCCTTTTACAGAAATATTTGCTCCTAGCGAACCAGGGTTTAATACCGATTTCATTATTTATTTCAGCATACCATTTACCTTTGGTTTCATTCATATGCCTTCTGTTTTCGAGCCAATCTTTATTAATTTGTTGACGAATATCAGGAATTAGGTCTTGCCATGGAATTGAAATATTTTTAATCTGGCCACCCAAGTTATTTATTGATTTTGCAAAATTATCAACTTTTTCATTGCCCACCACTCCACAATGTGCTGGAGTCCATGTGAATTCAACAGTGATATTTTGGTTACGCAAATCCGTCCAAAGTTTTTTAATGTGATAGATGACATGGTTTATTCTATTGCTAAAGCAATTATTTTGAAGGTTGGAAAGAACTGACATACTGTCACTGACGATAAGCCACTTATTCTGTTTTCTGGCACATATGTCTTCTTTTATATATTTCAAGGCATGCAATATAGCAAGTGCTTCTGCTGTGAAAATGCTGGATGAAGGTGGTAAACCAAATCCATATCCAACCTTAATATTGTTGTGATAATAGGCTAGTGATACTCCTTGATCTGATTTTGAGGCGTCAGTATAAATACAGTGAAAATCGGGCCATTCGGTTATGTGTTGATCAAAGTCTTCTTTAGATTTAAGGTCATTATTTATAGATATACGCATAGCACAGAATTTACTCTCAAATGTATCTTCATAACAAGCCCATTTATCAACTGCTTTGTAAATGTTATATTGCTCAACAAACGCCATAAAATTCGAGAAGTGAAGAAGAATGAAAGGGTATTTTGGGGAATTAATGGAAGAAGGAATAGTTTGGGAATGCTGAAGTTTTCGCAGTAGTGCATGATGTGAAATAGCAAAGAGCTTAAGAAGAAATTTAAATTTTAAAAATTTGAATCTTAGATGTAATGGTGGGACGTTACATTCTACTTGCATAGATATTATTGGTGTGGTTTTCATGGCACCAGTTATTAATCGCAAACTGTTGTTTTGGATAATTTCAAGCTTTTTAATAAGAATGGAATTTGATGCGTAACAAAAATAGCTGTACTCAAAATGAGATCGGACTATAGATTTGTACAACATAAGTAAAATTTTAGGGTCAGCACCCCATGATGTCCTTGCAAGAGGCTTAAGAATATTGAAGGCTTTAGAAGCTCTGTCTGACAAGTCATAAACATGCTTATTCCAAGATAAATTCTTGGTAAATATTACACCAAGAAATTTAAATTCATCTACCATAGGGATTAAGTTATCATTATAATATAAGTTAGCACATAAATTTCTAGATCTACTAAAAACCACTACTTTCGATTTACTCAAACTTATATCCAATTTTAAGTAATTAAAGTAAACTTTTAATTTTTTTAAAGCTGTGTTTAATTTGTTTTCTGCTATTACCATGTTAGATTCTGAGCAGTACACAGCTAAATCATCAGCATATTGTAAGTTTGTGACTTCTGGACCAAGAACAATATTTAATTTATGAATATACAGAATAAACAATAATGGACTAAGTATTCCACCTTGACAAACTCCCAAATAAGAGGGTTTTGGACCGTATAAATTATTATTAAATTTAACATATACTTGTCGGCCATGTAAAAAATAAAAAATCCAAGCAATTATTTTAACAGGTATGCCAAGAGTCAATAGCTCTCTAGTGAGAACTTTATGGTCAACATTATTAAATGCTCCAACAATATCAAGAAAAACACAGACAAGGAATCTGTTATATGCAAATGCACTATGAATATCTAAGTAAAGATTATTCATACTTTCAGCAGCAGAAAAACCTCTACGGAAACCAAATTGATTTGAAGGTAATAATTTATTTGATTCTATATAGAACTCTAATCTTTGTTTTAACATTTGCTCAAAAAGTTTACCAAAACAAGATGTCAGAGCTATAGGTCGGTATGAATTGTGATTTGTGTTATCTTTGCCTGGTTTTAATATTGGTACAAGGCAATCAATTTTCCACTCCGGTGGGATCAGAGATGCATTCCAAAGTAGGTTTAATATGAGAATTAACATTTTTTTCACGTCAACTGAGAGATTCTTTAGCATTTTGTATGAAATATTATCCAAACCAAAGGCCGTATCGCGTCTAGAGTTGAGAGCACTATGTAGTTCAGGTAAAGTAAAACTTTTAGTAAGAAATTCATTGTGTGTATGTGTGTTTGATACATGGATATTGAAATTGACCTGTGACTGGGGGTTTGATGAAAATTTATTTAAAAAATCTTGTATCCAACTGCTATTTGTAGAGCTTTTAATATTATTGTTGTGATAGGTTTTGTTAAATTTTCTTATTGTTTTCCAGATGGTCGATAATGGCGTTTGTCTGTTGAGTAACTCACAAAAAGCTGTCCAAGAAGCTTCTCTTTCTTTATTAAGTGAAAGTTTTTTAAGTGCTTGTTGTTTTTTAAATGAGATATAGTTTTCCATAGAAGGATCTGATTTGAATTGCAAATAAACCTTGCGACACTGTTCTATGGCAGCAGTACAGGTCTGATTCCACCAAGGTAGACATAGCCTTTTTTTGTGATTTGTGTTGTGTGATAAGGTTATGTTTTTTGGTTTCGTGTTAGCATCATTGACACTTTCCAATAAAATATTACAAAAAATGGTGTATGAAAGAATGGGATCGGAAAAATCGAAAGTGTGATCTAAAATTTTGGAGTCAACAATTTGTTTATACTTGAACCAGTCAACATTTATGTAGCTTGGTTTGGAAAAATTACCCTGACTTGCTTTGTTATTTGTATTTTCAGAATAGCTGAACAAGATGCTAGTGACAGTTGGCAAGTGATAGCTGCCCATTGGATCATTGTGAACAGACCAGTTGCAACGAAGTGATAGTGATGATGAAACAATTGTGAGATCTAATGCATTGGGACGCCATTTGTGGGAACCCACAGTGGTGGCTTGTCCATCATTGAGTATACAAAGATCACTATCTTCAATAATACTATGTAGTGTTGTACCACGACCATTATTCGAAGTGCAACCCCACATTGTATGATGAGCATTAAAATCACCTGCCAATAGCAAGGGCTTTGGAAGAGAATCAATCAAATTATTGATATGTGTATAAGTAAAATTTTGCGAGGCAGCTGAAGTAGGACTATAGAAGCTAACAATAGAGATTTCTTCATTGTTGAACTGTAATCTAATAGCTATGTTCTGCAAAGAATCATCATGTAATGTATTTAATCTAATATAGTTTAAATTATTTTTTATAAGTATAGCAACACCATTATGGTTGCTACCAATATCTAATCTTTCTATTTTGTAACCTTTGATATTAAATTTTTTTTCGGGTTTTAACCATGTTTCAGAAATTAAAGCAATATGTATATCATTATTGTAAAGGAAATATGTAAAAGCATGTTTATTACTAGATAGACTTTGAGCATTCCACTGAATTATGTTCAAGTGGTCCATAAAAAAATTAAGTGGTTTTAAGTTTATTTCTGTTTTTGTTTGTACTGAAAGTATCTAATAGAATGCTTTTGATGCCTGCAGAAGTAACAGGCGTTTCGTCAGACTTGTTGAGAGATATTATTTTGATAATAGAAGAAATAAGTAAGTTTACAAAGTCATCGCACTGTAGGAGGTTTTTTATATTATCAGTTGGTTTAGACTTGTTTAATGTTGGAAAAGACTTCTCATTGAATAAATCGGCGTATGCAACTTTTTGGTATTTAGTTCTATTTTCTTCAATTTTTTTTTTCTTAATAGGGCAATCTGAAGAAATTGCTATGTGATTGCCACTGCAGTGAACACAAATGGCTTCCTTGGGATCTTTAGGGCAGTCTCTGTATAGGTGTTCTTCACCGCAGATGGTGCATTTTTGCGAATTCTTACAAAATTTGCCGATATGACCGTAGCGTAGACAACGCAGGCATTGGCTAACTGGTGGAATGTATAGGCTTACCTCGAAGTACCATGAATCTATATCAACACTGTCTGGTAATGTAGGGCAGGCGAAAGTTAAGGCAACTGTTTGGGTGGGCAGCAAACACGATTTGCCGTCCTCATCGCGGCCTCGACGCATAAGTCGACGCACGGAAACTACATCTCTGGAACTTGATAATCCATTATATATGTTTTTGTTCGACATATAAGTGGGAACATTTCGAATTACACCAGTAGTTTCAGTGAGTAAAGCGGGAATTGATGCTTTTAGGTGCAGGTCCTTTAATGTTTTGGTATTATATAGGGCGCTATTAGCTAACCCTGGCCGCTCGAATATAGCTCCGATTTTGTATTTGTTTATTCTCTTAAATCTTTTTATGCCCTTGTTGCCTCGTTTCAATGAAGCGCCAAGGGACATGAGGTCTCTGTCGCCTATTGGCCTGGTTTCGGAACTTTCATATATTACAATATATTCAAAATTACCGCCATCTTCTGGATACTGACGGCAGTAATTTTCCGATTTATAAATGGTATACTTATCAGTTTCAGCAGTATCGGTCGAAGTATCTGAGTCGTCGACACTTGCCACATCTTGATGTAGATCGTCGGCTTTGCGCTTTTTGCGCTTGCCCCTCATGTTGAAGCTCACCTATAAATAGTGAGATTATATGCCTGGTTACAAATTCCTGGTAAAAACAATTTGTGAAAATTTTCTTTCAAAAAATTCCGCCTAATAGGTTTGACTTCCCGCCAAAAAGTCTTTATGAATTGAGTCTAAAAAAACATTTTCAGTCATAAAAAGAGTATGTTACTTATTTAAAAGAAAAATAGTATTTAATCAGTGGAGTATTTACATTGCTAAAGCAATGAGTTTGTATAACTAAAATCTGACAAGTGTCATGAAATACACTTAATGAGATTGAAATCTGTTGAATAATAATAATACTTATAAACTCAATTTTTCAATAATGTAGAATGAAGTACCAAATTTTAAGTTTTATTGTAAATTAAAATGTCGTCTCGTCGGGGTGGCAGGTATCAATATCTTGACTCTGTAGAAAACTAGAATATGGTTATTTGAAAGGCTTGCTTGTTTTATACATATTTCAAAATTTAACATTAGCGAACAAACAAAAGAAAGACATGCTTTAATATTTTGTTATGTTTGCCTCATTTTATACTTATAACTTCACTTTAAAACTATATACTACAAAATAATAAAAATATCAACTAAAAATTATACTACGGAAATAGTGTTTTACAGCTCTAGCGCAAATAAGTTGAGTAACTATTAATAGGTACTCAAAATTTATTATCCAAAACAATATCCAAAACTAAACAGATCAATTGCAAGCCAGACAAATAAATGGGTGTTACATAGGTACTACATACATACACGTTTTAGAAAAAGGGATTTCAATGGTAAATAAATAAAACTATTTCATGATTCTCAATCCCAAAAATAAGTTTTTTAAAAGAAAGAATTTTGTTGAAATTTTGTGAAAGAAAAACATTATTTTAATATCTTCCAGTTAAAGCATTAAATATTACCATCATAAATGTACACTTCTACACCGCTGGATAGAGATGTGTGAGCTTACAGCCCTGAGACTGATCTTCGGCTTTTCTCATTCACACAGTCAATAGTTTACTTTGAACACTTGAAGTGTTCTAAGGAATCTCTTACGCCTTTTAAATAAGAGGATATCTTACGTCTATTTTAAATTATATGTTCACAAGAATAATGCTACGATATTTGACCACATTCCATGCTATGAATCTAAAACGACAAAAACTTTTTTTTTATCTTTAATTCAGTGTAAAACCCATACTTCATTACTTAAAATCTATGTTAGTAACTTAAAAACCTAACACATTAGTATTTAACTACATATTTATTACAATTTTTTTAGTCATCACCCCGTGCCTGCTGTAAAGACAATTAACTAGCAGTCCGATCTTGCTCGATATGATGTTCAAAAGTCATTTGCTGAGCTACATAATTGTTTTTTAAGTTTATGATGATTGGTTTTTTAACAATTCAGATTTGCAACCTTTTCAAGTCTAATAATGATTTAATTTTTTAAATAGATTTATAGCTTAGAATAGTGTTGTTTTTAAACTCTCTTTCGGTCGGCAATCATTTTTTGCAATATCAAACAATATGCTATTATGAGGATGTTTAGTCGCAAACTCCTTCGTGAAAATTTCGGATGAAATTTTTCACAATACTTTCTTTCTCTGTCTATTGGCTGAAGAAGCTTAAAGCTAAAAAGAGATAAGTAGATAATCAAATCTAATTCTATAGTTCCATTATGATCAATTCCATGTTCAAAATTTCTAGAAACAACTCGATGACGTCACTAACATGACAAAAGACTTCAAATTAAATCATTCAATGACAGTTCAATTTCGTCTGTTGTGTTGATAATACAGAAGTAAAGTTTCCGATTTAAGTGTTGATTAAATCATGCCTCGACGAGGAAGATCAGCAAGCCCTCCACCAGCGCCTCAAAGGAGGTAAGTTTTGCATTCCGTGGTGTTCTTCAGATTTCAGTGTAGTTATAACCTATAACTAGTTAAAACTTATACACCTAAATTTTTAGAGCTGCTCCTCCGCCAAGTAATGTACCAGCTCGTGCGGCTCCATCGACCCCGGCTACGACAGTAGCTCAACCTCAGCAGCCCTCGCTATTCGGGCAGATGGCTGCCACGGCTGGTGGCGTAGCTGTAGGATCGGCTGTGGTGCGTATTTACTGTATTACGTAATTGAAAATTGAATTACACCAAAACTAGTTCTCTGCAGAATAAAGCAGAAAGTTCTCGATTTCACAACAGCTTGAAATAATTGGTCATATTATTTTTCGCATTTTACTACATAATTGGCAAATGGCCAAAGCAACTTGAACTTGGCCACATGTGATAATGATTAATTTATTATTGAATGTATTCATTTAAATTTTATTAGTTGAGGAACATGCTTAGAAAAGTAACAAATTATGAATCTTGAGTGCTGATCTTCACCAGCGCTATGGCATTATGGGGCATATTGTGAGCTTACAAGTGTACATATTACCATCCTATTTGGGACTTAATGCAACTGCGTCACTCAAAATATTGCTCATCATCACATGTTTTGCCACTATAGGGGCATATTCTCATATTATTATGTCAGTTGAAATATATAGGGTATTTTTTTTGATCGCCTAAGCAAGCTAAGCATTGGTCGAGTGTGAGGGTCGTGCAATATATTTCCATTATAAATTGGATGGATATATTTTCATTACATAACTTGAAAATACACACTTCAGCATACAGTACACTTCAGTATTTTTAATTGACATCCAGTATGATTATTTTATTTCATCAACTTTTTAATCATTTTATTCTGCATTCACAATGTTTGCCTGATGTGAGAATTGAACTAATTTAGCGCTAAGTCAATCAAAAATAACTTAAATATACAATAATACAAATACAAATAAAGACAACTCAATTCCTATCCTGGTGAAACTGAAAAGGCCTCCGAGCTATCAGTAATACTACAATCCTAAAAAAAACTAAATCAATAATTGATTTTGCCAATAAATCACCAGTGAGACAGATTTGCACTCTTTAGTTGAGAAGATAAGATAATCACATTACCCCTTTACTTAAAAATTTATTTGGAGTCTACTATCACAAATGACACAAAGAAAAAAATATATAATTGGAGCAAATAAATAAATAAATCTAAATTGAAACTTGAGTGATATTTTTATAAATGTAGAGAAAAGTAGTGATTGTTTGAATGTCCACCTCGGAACTGAAACTAAATAATAATGTTTAACATTAACATTTGCCTCCATTTATTAATCACAGTTTTTTCTCTTCCTTCACTAATGTTCTCTCAAGTGTTGTAAAAATGTTTTTTTTCATTAGATACTATTTTTAAGATTATGTAATGTTTTATTCTAGGGTCATGTGGCTGGTAGTGCTCTAACAGGTATGTTTAGTGGTGGTGGAAGCAGCGAACCAGCACAGCAACAGCAAGCAGCTCCTGCAGCTCAAACCTACAACCAATACCAGGGACAGCCGGCTCAAGGACCATGCGCGTGGGAGATCAAGCAATTCTTGGAATGTGCTCAACAACAGCACGACTTGTCACTCTGTGATGGCTTCAATGAAGCTCTACGTCAATGCAAAGTCAATAACCACATCTAAATGAATATAGATTGATAGAGGTGTCCATTAATTTTGCTCGGAAAATGATTGTTTTAATAAAAAAATCATTGATTGTTTTATTTCAGAGATGTGCCTATACATTTAATTCTTGGAAAGTTTATTTTGATTACCAAACATCCACTCTGAGCAATTTGAGGCACCTGCCTAGTAGCTATTATTTTTAGTGTAAACGGAAATTTTGTTTTCCAGTGACTAAATCTGTAGTCTTATAGTTTTATAGTTGACCACATAAAAATATTGTTAAACCCATTTTACAGATTATTTAATAATTATTATTTTTTGTAAAATTAGTTCAAATTATTAATAAAGAAGTTGACATTCATAATTTTTTTATTTTTTCTGTGATGTCTGACATTGTTTTGTTATGCGGATGACATTTTTACGATCACCCTTTGTAATTTTGAAACAATTTATAAATAAAATAAAAATGTTCTGTGCGAGTTTTTTAAAGTTCTTGATAGCGTAAAAGTTACCTAACTCATATTTGTATGGAATGGGACCGTTTGCCTTCGTTTGCCGCTAGGGGCGCAGTTCCAACTGCATACAAAATTGGGTTAATTTTTACGCTATCGAGAATGTTAAAAACTCGCACTAAGCACACTGGTGTTGACGTTTTAAGGTTTGCGGGGATCCGCTCGATGCAAGCAGCGCAGGACCTATCATTGTGGCGAGGCGTGGGGGAGACCTATGTCCAGCAGTGGAGATCTGTGGACTGATAGAATAGAATAGAGATCGCTGTTGTACTATAGACGCACAAACAGGAATGTGACAAGGAATAACCTACACAAAACTAGGAAAACAATATAATATATTTAACAACGGATATATAAAATATTATAATGCCTACAATAATTTTTGATAAAAACATAATTTCTGTTAATGCAATCAAAAGCGATTTGGACAATCTTTTTTTTTTACAGAAATACAAACTTCAGTAAAAACTTATCATTTTGTATTAATGGTTGATACTGCAACCTGCAAACATAATTTTTTAAGCGACAAACTTATTTGGTTTAATACATAGGTACTTATATTATTTTGCGACTTTTTCATTTGCTTGTGCATCTCCAAATTTTCAATCATCTTCAAATTTTATGAGTTAATATCAACTAAAATATTGGGTGTCGTCTAGGTTGTTTTAACGAAGAAGCTTGATAATATCACCTTTTGTCATAAACCTAAGATTTACTTGTTTACGGGATTTGATCATTTTTTTTTCCTAGCTAAGCTGAGAGCCTTGAGGGGCTATATCAGCGTAGCCTTAGGAAACGCGACCCACTGAGAAGATCCGACGAGAAACTCAGTGGGCTGTGTCTGTGGTTTAATTTACTCGTCGAGCCCTTCGTCGCAAGCGACGGGTTCGACGAGAACGATGACCGGTGCTTGAGATACCTAAAAGCACCGTTAGTGGATTCGGAAGATCCGAAATGGCGTGTTTAGGGCGACGTCGACTGCTTTCCATTCTGTCCGCAGGATCGGGAGGATTTTATCATGAGAAGGTTGCAGTCATGACACTGCATTAGTTTAAAGAAAAGAATAACATTCTAGAAAGTCAAAATGTGAAAATTAATTTAATAAAATTCCATAACCATTTGTTATTACTGTAGTTTTTTTTAGTTATTCATTCACTTTTCAGTACTAATAATAATCTAAATCAATAACTAAATAATCCGCGTTTTGGTGATACTTAGGTCTTGTTCATTCATATGGCTATACCCTACTTTGACGATTAGTTTATCATACGTCTCATTGTACAAAGACAATAAATAAAATTGGCATTAATTTCAACTTTGTACCCGTTCCTAAAAAAACAGGAATTGAGAATTTTATTTTCCCTTTGAGGATCGTAACCCTACAAATGAATAGGGCAGCACAATCAAAACAATATCTCAGGTGCTACAGAGATACAAGTCAGAGTAAAATTTTATTTTTCTGTGTCGGCATCACTCTTGAGAGAATGGTCGTGGTCATCACTTCAGGTGTTGGTGGCAAGGTTCGCAACAGTTACACGTCGCCACTTTTGTCTGATGGCCGCCCTCCTCGTGTATTTATTTAATGATGATGAGTCATTTACTGACGAGAATTTTGATCATCATCAAAGTATAATTGTTGTAGTAACAGATATGCTACCGTCCAAAAAACCGGAACGCATGACTATTATTCTAAAAAAAAACCGCTAAACAATACAATACCGTCGACCTCATGTGCCGTGGACCCGTTGATCAACTTGAGCAATGAATAAAAATAAATAAGAATAAGCTAAAACATTTGGCTATCCCCAACCTTTGTGAAATTTATTAGAAGTGTTAACGCCAGTAGCTTTCAGATTGGCTATGCCCAGGGCCGGATTTAAACTTAATGCCGCTTCTGGGCGCCGGAGAAAGATCCACCCCAATACTGGAATTTTACTTAAACTTGTAGTTTACATATTTTATTTTTCAAAATTGAAATAACTAACTTATAGCAGAATCTTTATTATATGTTATATTATATTCCGAAAACATAAACAATTTTTTTCTTCTTCTAACAATTATAAATTTGGCACTAAATGTGACTCATAATTAAATTACATCAATAAAAAAATAACAAATTAAATTTCTTTAATTTCAGAAAATCTAATATTATTCCATATCTCCAAGGAAATAAATTGATTAAATCATTTTGATTATTATTTTTTACCAAAAGTGCCAAAATTATAATTCACAAATAATGGATGAATTGAACTTATTGAACTATCAATTAAACAGAAAATTGTTAATAAATAGAATTGATTAATTATATTGAGCAATATTCATAAGGTTAAAAAAAATGTTTTTACTTTTAAAATTTGTCCGCCCTGGGCACTTGCCCCGACTGCCCTTAATGTAAATCCACCATTGGCTATGCCTAAGGTCTAGTTCTAAGCTACTAGCGACTAAGCGACAGTGACGCAGGCTTAGAATATATAACTCAATAACAAGATACCACATCTCTAATCATCCGATCGCCATACCACCAGATTTCATTGTTAGGCCTTTACTAGGTCATCTTATCAGTTGGTTTATTGACGTCATTACGCTCTACATAAATAATATATTATTTTGTTTTACTATCATGGAATTATTATTTATTATTGTTCTAGTTTATCACGAATCTTAATTACTTTACAGTAAGACTCGTTATTCCCGCTCTAACCAGCATGCACCGGCACGTCCTCCTCCAATGGTTGTGACGCCTACACCACAACGCTCTTTATTTAGAGATGCGGCTGCTGTTGCTGGAGGCGTTACTGTAGGCACTGCTGCGGTAAGAATCGAATAAGATTATCGGAGATAGCATTTTGCTCTACTTGATTAGTTTGATGAATCTAGAAATGTATGAAAACTTTAGATTCTAGTTACCGTGGTAAGATACATAAAATTTTTGACCTCTCAAAGAGATTGCAGTTTGTAGAGCAGTGAAGAAAGTTTCATCTAGATGCTCATCGTTCTTCTGTGCGGACCGGATAATACTTACCCTATTGCTGAAATAGAACACATTAATATTTGCTCTCTTTAGGTAGAATAAAGTTGTAGAATGTCATGTCATCTTATACGCGATGTTTCGATTTATAATATTTAATTTAAGCAAAGCCTAGGGAACTTAATGGTTGGCAATCCTGTATGTTTAAAATCTACTTACAATACCTATGTCCTGTGAGTAAAACGCAGTTAGTTTATTAGAATTCATTTAATGTAGGTACTCAAAAGTCTTCCTTTATCCAACTGCTAGGTTTATTGCGATTTATGATTCTTTTATCATGAAAAGTACATAAATAGCTAAGTTTCATGAAAACAAAATACATTATTTCACTACATCGCTACAAAACCAAATGGCGCTTATAATATATGTATTGTCAAGATATGCTTCAACTATTGGCTGAAGGTTAGTTAGGAAGGAAGGTTGTAACTATACTTGAGACCTTATAGCTCAAGGTGGGTGGCCCATTTGTGTTGTAAATGTCTATGGGCTCCAGTAACCACTTAACACCAGGTGGGCTGTGAGCTCGTCCACCCATCTATGCAATAAAAAACAAATAATAATAATTTATAGTTCCTTTAAAACTTTCAGGGTCACGTAGCCGGAGAAGCCATTACAGGTTTGTTTTCTGGACGACGCCGGGAAGAAGTCACCCAAGCTTTGCCAAGAGATTACCAGCTTGGTTCTGAACCAAACGGCCCTTGTGCATATGAAATATCCCAATTTCTTCAATGTGCCAGCAGTCGAGACAATCTGCAGGAGTGCGAGGCTTTCAACGAGGCTTTACGCGAATGTAAACGTCGGAACAGTAAGACTATTACCTAAGTATTTTAATTCCACGGCGAAGGACATCATGTTACGCGCTGGGGTTCGGTATATATAAAAGTTCCACCAAAATACAACTGTTACCTAAATACGCCCTAACACGAGTAGAGGATTTAAAGAGGGGCACCTTTTATACTCTTCCTCCTTCAGTCAATCGCTCATTGCTGAGCATCGTGATGCGCCCGCCTGTGACCTTTTTTAGTAATTTGTAGCCACTTTTATCGGTCAGTGGCACAGTGAAGTGCTTGGCTCAGTGTCATGTCCAGACACTCGGATACTTGGTCACTCCATCTTTTTCGGCTCCGACCTCTGGATCGTCTTTACCCGTCACTATGAGTTTCTCCAGGTTGTCAGAGGGTTTTCTTGCTATATGACCAAAATATTGGAGCACTCTATATAGGCATTTGGTGGATAGCCTCTGGTCAACTTTTAGCTCGTTGAGGATGGAAGCGTTTGTCCGGAAAGCCGTCCAAGGAATGCGCAATATGCGCCGCCAGCACCACATCTCAAACGCGTCTATGCGTCGCCTGTCAGACTCTTTTAGGATCCAGGTCTCAGCCCCATACAAAAAGATTAAGAAAACGAGCGTTTCAACAATTTGCACTTTCGTCTTCTTGAGTATGTTCCGATCTCTCCATATTTTGTTTAGCTGGCTCATAGTAAATTTGGCCATTCCGATGCGTCGCCTTATTTCGTTTTCCGATCCACCTCTATTGGAAATAATCGAGCCGAGGTACACGAAAGTCTTGACGATGTGGTATTGGCCAAGAATATTATTCTCGTTTAAGGGTGCCGGATTTATCCACGATCATGATCTTTGTTTTGAACTGGTTGATCTTTAGCCCCATTTCCTCGCTGACTATAACCTGACGTCGAAGCAGCTCCTCCATTTCCCCTTTTGATGACGTAACTAATGTGGTATCATCCGCGTATCGTAAGTTTGAGATCTTTACGCCCCCAACTGTGACGCCACTATTCCACTCCTCTAGGGTTTTGCGCATTATGTATTCGCCATAGATGTTAAAAAGTATGGGCGAGACGATGCAACCCTGGCGCACTCCTTTCTCAAATCGGAACTCTCTTACAATCAAGACCGATCTGAATCTGGACCGATCCGTACCGATCCCTGTCCCGACAGGTGTAGGGTTCTCATCAGCTGAATCAGATGTATGGGAACGCCCATGTCCTTACCAGCACATACCATAAATGTTTCCAGCTAACGCAGTCAAAGGCTTTTTGGTAGTCGACGAAGCATAGGACTGCTGGGATGTTATACTCATAGCACTTTTCTATAATAAGCCTTACGTTGAGTATCTGTTCGCGACTACCCTTTCCCTTAACAAATCCTGCTTGTTCTTGTGGAATTTGCCAGTTTAGAAAGTGTTTAAGCCTCGAGTTAATGACATGCAGCAGTACTTTGCTAGTGTGTGATATCAGGGCAATAGTTCTATAATTGTCAACCTTCTGGTAGTGCCTTTTTTATGTAAGGGCAGTATCGCCGAGTGAGTCCAATTCATCGGCCATTCACAGCTTCGCCATATTGAGTTGCACAAGTCTACAAGTTTCGCTACTCCCTTCACTCCGAGGCCCTTCAAAGCTTCGGCAGTAATATTATCGATGCCGATGACCTTTTATATAGTATAATTAAAATTCCAACCTCAAATCTCATGATAAATAGCAGTATTTAAATTGTGATGTATATGTGTTATTTTAATCTACTTACGCTTTTTTTCAATTTTCAGGGTTACCATAAAAGAAAAAAAGTAAGATGAAGACTCTCAGTAAACAAATCTATTTAAAAAAAAAAAACTGAAATAAACATTTAACGAGTCTTGTTTCCACTGAGATTTTAATGAATAAATAAACAGTTTACAAAGAAATTGCGGGACTATCAATAAAACTACAGTGTACAGGTGTATACATGTAAAATTAAGTTTTTATTTACACCTACATACATTGTGACGTTTTACAGAACAAATAAATCTATTCAAGACGTATTTAATTTGAAAAAAATATATAATAATGCAGATTCGATTAAACACATATATTCGAGTCGAGTTTCGTTCAATTTCACATATATGCGAATCATAAGTAACATAGGTACTGAAATTAATTGAGAGGAGATTTTCGTGGACGTATCTTGTTGCTATTTAGTATTAGTATTTATATAACATTCGTAAATTTTACAGTTTGGCACACTACAAATTTATAATTTAACAAATCTGTGGATACGTAATGCTTGAATATATCTTTGGACATATCGAACCGGCTTAGTACTGACCGACTAAGTTCAACATTAATAAACTCGATAGAAAAAAAAAACAAAATCAACATTTTGTTTCCTATTGTTTACGAAATAATATTTAGCAACGAATATGTATAATGGAACAATAGTTGAGAACTTAACAGGATGGACGCGGTTTTTTTACAAAATAATTGAATTAATTTCGTTCGAATTCTTAATTGAACTAAAATACGTAATAACGCTTAAGCTAAATCAGTCTAGTTCTTAAAGCGACATCCTGAATGTCATAATAATAATAATAGTAAAGTGTAAACACATGTTAGTCACACTGGAAATATTCATTATAAGGCCTCTAGGGTTCGTGTTAATTTTACTAACAGATAAGAAATGTTACAAAAATATTACACAAGTGGATTATTACGATCCAAAACTTAATAATATAATTACAATTTTAATAACAGAAAAAAATACATTGTAATAATACATTAACAGATCCAAATTGTGTTTGTTGAAGCTTTGTTCTATTTTGCTAAGAAATTTATATTTGAAAATGCAGACATTAAAGGTTGGATTTGCACCGTTTAAAATATCACTAAACAATTAACTTTAATATATTATATAAACAATCACAAAAATAATGCACCAATGCTTAAATATATATCTATACAGAAATATTGTGTAAACAGCGGGCGAACAGATAAACGCTAAGCCCAACATCGAAAAATAATTTAAAGCTCATGAATCGATCGATCAACACGCGTAAACATTCAATATAACAATAGTATATTGTGTCAAAATAGAGCGGGGACTGAACGCCAAACTACGTCCAGGTAAGCGTATCAACGACATTACATTAATAATTATATTACAATAAGATTTAGCACAACATCGGCTCCGGCGATGAGACACCAGGGTCGACTAAGAATAGTTTACAAATTAATTCACGTATGGTCACTGACAAGTTTCAAATATGACACAAAAAAAATCAGATTCAAATGTGAATCTGTCGGGAGTGACGTCGATCTCACGTAAACTATTTACGCTCGTAAAGAGGAACCTACATAGCACTACACTCCGGGACGTCACAAGCGCATCTCCCACAGCACGAGGTACGCGTCCTTAGGGTTGGGGTCGGCGGCGGGCGCGGGGCGCTCGGCCGCCTCCGCCGTCTGCCGCCAGTCCACGTACCCGCGGCCGCCCATCACCGTCAGCACCGAGCGCCGCGCCGCGCTCTCCCCCACCGCGTAGTCCGCGCCGCGCAGGCTGCGCCCCCCGCCCCGCGTCCCGCCCGCGCTGCCCGTGCTGCCCACCGACCGCTGCGACGACGACTTGCTCGACGCGACGGACGACTCCGGCGTGGACACCGCGACGGGCGCAAGGCTCGCGGCCCCCGACGCGCCTGAGCTGTTCCTCGAGACGCCGCGCAGGGCCATTGACTCCTCGCTTCCCGATGACGTACACAGACTGGAGGCGCGCGAGTCTACCGACCAGTTGGAGAGATCGAGGCTGCGCGGCCGACCGGCGCGCATGCGCAGTCGCCGGTCCAGCGTGCTCACGCGGAACGGTATGGTGGCCAGCTCGGGGTCACTGCGTCGGATCGCCTCACCGCCGCCGCCGCTCACGTCGTTCTCACCGACGCAGTCCTTCACGAATATGAGATCGCCAAACAGTCCGTACACGTCGCAAGCGTTTAAGTTAGCGCACTTTGGCAGAGTTTTGCTCAGACGCACGTCCCCGGGCTTCTTCCGGCGCACGACCGCGGAGTGCACGCGCTGCGGTCGGTACGGACTCGTTTCCTCCGAGATTCGTCGCTCCAGTTTCGGTTTGTCGCAGTCTTCTTTGGAGTCCTCTTCTTTGAACTCGTGCACGATGTTCACGTCGGCGAGCGCGCGTGCGTTCGAGAGGTTACGTCGAACTGCATTGACGTCGATGTCGCGCGTTTCCGGCAACAACGACAACAGAAACGTGACGGGTCCGGCGTGAGCGTGATATGAGACGGCGATGTGACCGCCGACCAGAGGCAGGCCCTCCAGTTTAGGAAGAGGGACGGTGACGCTGACGCCAGCGGTCGTGCCGACCCACAGGAGGCCCTGACTGGCGAGCAGCGCGGAAACGTAGGCGGGCTTACTGCCGTCTCTGGCTCCGATAGTTTTAGCAACATCAGCTGCAATGTCTATGTTTTGTAGATGCTCGAACGTCTCCGCGTGGTACAAGCTGACGAATGTAGAATCAGAGAACGCGGTCCATAGACCGACGCCGGAGTGCGCCAAGTATTTCACTGTTCGGTCTCCGTCGCTCTTGAGTTCGAGAATGCGCATGATTTCGGCGGTAAGAGCGTTGATGGCAAAGACTCGGCGCGCGCAGGTGGCGTAGAGGATGCCGTCCACGGGCAGCAGACAGTGCACGGGTTTGTCGCCGAGCTCGATGGCCAGCGGCTCCTGCAGCGNCGCGGTCCATAGACCGACGCCGGAGTGCGCCAAGTATTTCACTGTTCGGTCTCCGTCGCTCTTGAGTTCGAGAATGCGCATGATTTCGGCGGTAAGAGCGTTGATGGCAAAGACTCGGCGCGCGCAGGTGGCGTAGAGGATGCCGTCCACGGGCAGCAGACAGTGCACGGGTTTGTCGCCGAGCTCGATGGCCAGCGGCTCCTGCAGCGCCCAGGAGTCGTCGTGGTTGCGCCTGTAGACGGCCACGCGTCCGTTGGTGAGTCCCACGAACATGGCGTCGCAGTGGTAGCGGATCTGCGTGACGGCGGCCACGGTCGGCACCTCCGCGAGTTTCTCCTGTTTCTCCGGTTCCACCGCAGAGAAGATTATTATTTTCTTGTCTTCGGTGCCGAGCCACACGGTGTCGCCGCACAGCGTGGTCACTTGCCGTATTCCTTTGGCGAATTCCATCGAAGTGACCTGAAAGTAAGTTCAGATGTCAAAGGAAATCTGTCTGTGGATGTCATTTTCAGAAACCAATTTCATTTTATTATTATTATGAGGACATAATAATAAAAAAAAAATGAACACTAACTAATTATGAGAGCGATTATTGATTTCTAAGAAAAAAATTAACAACTTAATTTTAGCTGCAGAAAAAACAGATTTCTCTTAAACCTGGGTGAGAATATAAAAATCGTTTTCTGAATATGAAACTATATTTCTTTGTCTATCAAATTAAGTTAAAACCATCATGACACGACAATATTTTTTTTTGGGGTCTCAAACGCCCTAAGAAAATGGGCATTGTCCTGTGACACTAATATTATACTGGAAGCCGAGAAATAAGTCATGAAACAAGTGAACGTTATTTACCTTGGTGTCCGGCAGATCTAAGGTGACGAGAGTCTTGAGTTTGGCGGCCCGGTGCGTGAGGACCGCGACGTGCGAGAGCGCGGCGCCGCCCGCACACACCCACAGCAGCGAGCGAGCGCGACGCAGCGAGGCGCCGCGATTGTTACCGCTCGATGTGTAGAAACAACCGCATCGAACCTATCAACAAAAATATAACCAAATAATATATAAAAATGAATTGCTGTTCGTTAGTCTCGCTAAAACTCGAGAACGGCTGGACCGATTTGGCTAGTTTTGGTATTGAATTATTTGTGGAAGTCCAAAGAAGATTTAAAAGGTTAATAAATATTAATAAATATGCGCGGAATTAAATAAAAATAGCAATTTTGTTTTTCCTTTGACGTGTCCCCCGACGGACGGATTCCTTTTTTTCTTTTAAGTCTATTTTCTGCAATAGTCTTTTATTTATCGATAGTCTGCCGGGTCAGCTAGTAACCAAATATAACTCTCCTCGTTAATGACAACTCACAAACAATGCAGTCTGTGTACATATTTGTGTAGATCCATTCTTTTTTTTTTTCTCTTCCTTATCCCACTAGGTGGGGTCGGCACAGCTAATTTTTCTCTTCCATTCTTTTCTATCAGCTGTCATTTCAACATTCACTTCTTTCTCTCTCATATCGTCATTCACACACTCTATCCATTCATTAAAACCATTAAATAGTTTGTCACATAGAAAATAATAATTCCCATACCCTATCCCATCCTCAGAGGAGAATTATTTTCCTTATGCCTTTCACATGACAGCATTTTTATACAATTCCCTTTGTAATTATTAATAGCAGAGGGATGCCCTTTAATGGACTTAAAAAACTTTAAAAAAATTAGGCACCATGGCCTTTATTTTCTTGATAATTTTAATTTAAAGTTTAATTTTAAACTGCTCAATATGAACTGACTGACCTCTGTAAGATTTTTGGAAGAGTAGACATTGTTGGCATCGACAAAGAGCGGCATTTTGTGTGGTGGCGCGTGAGAGACGGGCACCCTCCAGGCGGGCGAGTTGGCGGGCGCCTGGGCCAGCTGGGCCAGCCTCAGCGCCGTGGCCCAGCCCAGGCGCGCGCCCGGCTCGTTGGCGCGGAACGTCAGCGCCTCCTCCCGCCCGCGTATCCGGAGTTGGAGACAACAAGAATCCACCCACGCCATCTCATCGTCTTTTTTCTGTATACAACCAAATAATTATCAAATATATAGCTTTTTTTTAAAAGTGAATTTATGACCTGGTAACTAAGACCTTTAAGTCATGTCTTATTTTAATTTATTATTCTTAATTTTATGAAAAATGATAATATGGAGTGAAATGAAATGAAGATGATTAATTTGAGACATTAATGAACTGGGATGAAATTAAATGAAATTATATGATATGGGATGAAATATAATCTCAGTAAAATGGTGGTCATTTATTGAGATTTTTCAGTGGACTTTTTGGAAGAACCCGAGAAGTTACGTCCAGCAGCTTTAGTTTCATTTTCCCACATTTGTGCGCTTTCACAGATATTAAACAGTTAATAAACCACCGTTATTATACATTTAAACCTGAATAAACACTAAATAGACAAAATAAAACAAATCACACAACTTTACTTCTCGCGATCCCGCCAAAAAGTCGTAACCAAATATAGCATATAAATATAGCAACATATCTGCTATATTTTTATATTAATTACTGGTGGTAGGACCTCTTGTGAGTCCGGACGGGTAGGTACCACCGCCTTTTTTTTTTTTTTTTTTTTTTTTATTGCCTTTGTAGGCAGACGAGCATACGGCCCACCTGATGGTGAGTGGTCACCGTCGCTCATGGACGTCAGCAATGCCAGGGGCAAAGCCAAGCCGCTGCCTACCATAAAGAACTCTCCGCAAGCCTCGTTTGAAGAAGGACATGTCATAGCGCTCGGAAAACACCGTGGAGGGGAGTTCATTCCAAAGCCGGATGGTACGTGGCAAAAAAGATCTTTGGAAACGCACTGTCGATGAACGCAACGGTTCCAGATAATATGGATGAACTTTGCTCCGATGGCGTGCCTATTTCTACCGTGAAGCAGTAATGCGTTTCGGTTTGAAGGGTGGGGCAGCCGTTGTAACTATACTGAGACCTTAGAACTTATATCTCAAGGTGGGTGGCGCATTTACGTTGTAGATGTCTATGGGCTCCAGTAACCACTTAACATCAGGTGGACTGTGAGCTCGTCCACCTATCTAAGCAATAAAAAAGAAATATTTTTTCCTGAATTTCTGTAAATTAAACGGTTGTCTGTCTGGAAGAGATTGCTTTTAACGATAAAACCGCCTATTGTACAAAATAAATGTATCTGCTTTTTGACTGTTTTTTTAATGTAAATTGTGTTTTGGTGTGCAATAAAGTGCATTCTCTCTCTCTCTCTCTCTCTCTAATTATTCATTAAGTTTATTATGATTAATAAAACGAAGGATCTTATTGTGTTGCACTTTGTGTTTAAGACTTTATGAAATGTTGCATAACACCATCCTGGTCGTTTTTGTCACGAATCAATCCTATTGGAATTCCAGCCTCATACTATACAAATGAACTGATATGAATGAAAATCAATTACTGTGGGCTTCGGTCACAATTTCAAAAGAGTAGAGCTTGTTTGACAAAAAAAAACAATGATATGAAATATCTCACTTGTATGCTTTGTTGTATACTCTGCAACAAGGTTTTGAACATTTCCGGTGCTAGTTCAGGATAGGGAGTTTTCAAGGAGGCCGCCAAGTCCGCCATCCTCGATACGGTCTCATAGTCGTGCATCAACGTGGACATCTCGCCGCAGAGAGAATCTCCCGTTGACGTGCTCATTTGACCGTTGCTAGAGTTTGAACGTAGGCTGCCACTACGGTTCATACCTGCAAATGCCGTGTTTAGTTTAGCTTTTTCATTAAATAAAAAAAATAAAAAGTCATTTAAGTACTTTAAGTACATAACTATGCATAATGAAATAAAATTAAAAAAAAAAAATATGTTAAAGCTTTCTGTCTCTTTCGTTTAAAACGTTTATATTCGTTAGACTTGTATAACTGGCTCATCTATGTAGTAAAATCTTTTAACGTTATTTTCACCAACTTCAAGATGATCCGATTAACTTGAAAATTCGAACACGTTTCAAGGATCAATGACAATAAAATATAATTACTTTGTTGGATGGACGAATATATGGTCAACCAGGTGGTAAGTGGGCACCGGAGTATATACACATCAACTACCTTAATAAACCTCTAGCGTCACTAACGATGGGGCATGATGGGGCATTTTATAGTATAACAGCTGCCCTTTTTTTCCCCCTACCCAAGCTGATAGCCTTGAGAGGCTATATCAGCGTCGCCTTAACTAGTAGGTGAGCTCACGGGGCTCAAACCTGACGACGTTGCTAACACGAACCCTAGCAAGAGCCGTGCTTCACAGAATCTACCGCCGGATCGGAAACGCGACCCACTGAGAAGATCCGGCGAGAAACTCAGTGGGCTGTGTCTGAGGGTTAATTTACTCGTCGAGCCCTTCGTCGCAAGCGACGGGTTCAACGACACCGATGACCGGTGCTTGAGGTACCTAGAAGCATGGTTAATGGATCGGGAGGATTCGAAATGACTTGTTTTGGACGACGTCGACTGATTTCCATTCTGTCCGCAGGATCGGGAATGTTGTTACCGGCGGCCACGATGAGAGGGTTCTTGTATCGTGCCGCTTTATCGAAGTGGCAGCTGCCTCATCTTTCAAACCGAAACACATTACTGCTTCACGGCAGAAAATACACAGGGTGTTGGTACATGTGTGGGCTTACATGACACCTTACCAAGAGTTTATTTAAAAAAGCCTCTTTTATGATTACCGGTTGCCTTTTGTTTTGTAGCTAGTTTCATTGTATACCTTGAGCGAGCACTCTGCTGAGCGTGGGCGAGGTGCCCGTGTCCAAGACCTCAACGTCCTGCACCGGATGCGCCCACTTGAGGCCGAGACGTTCCGCGTCATCGCCGCCCGCGCCAACCGACACGCACACCACGAGGTCGTTCAGTAACAGCAGTCGACGGGGCTTGCACTTAGATAAGCCACCCGACTGGTTAAATTCCTGTAATTCATGAAATCTATATATTAATACGTGAAGCAGAAACTTTGTACCCCTTTTTACGAAAATTGCGCGGACGGGGGAGTATGAAATTTCTCACCCTTATAGGGAATATAGAGCAGGAGTGCAAAATGCTAATTTTTTTTTAAGTTATGCATAAATAATTTATTAAATCAATAAAGAAAACATGACACAACACACATATACTCTGCGTTTATTATCAACCTTAACTTATTATTGAAAGTCTGTGGTCAAATTGAGAATAGAATAAAATATTGTTTGTCTTTAATATTATTTGTCTATAGTGTAGTCTTGGCTAAATCTGTGATTATATTGTAGAAGTATTTGACAATAAAACGATAATAATGTTATAATGTCAATTAATTATAGTCGAATTTCGACTATCGGGGACCACTAGTAGTTCACTTTAATAGAGATAATAATAAAAATAAAATCATTTGTTGCCTTTCACATTAAATAAAATACAAATAAAAGAAAATAAAAAAGAGAAAAAGGCAAAAGACAAAGGTCGAGAAATCGAACAGCGCTGATTTTCAGTCACCCCCGTTTCCCTTTGGTTCATTGCGGGATAAAGGCCCTAGGTACCTACGTGTGTACAGACTTAGAACATGGTATAAACTAGTATAAAAATAAGAAAGAACAAAACAAAAATCTAATAAAAAAAGATAAAAATAATAACTATTTATCTAAACTTTGTATATTATCCAATTACATTAACATAGCTTCAAGCACTTTCTAATGTTGTTTCAAAGCTTCTAAAAATATCAATTAAAACAAGTTTTATCTACGTTTTTTTTTTAAGTCACTACTCCTAACAATTTTCGAGATACTTTTTTATCCGTTCTAAATTAAAACGTCCTCGGTCTGATTTATATGATCACTGAATCAACCAAATCAATTTATGTGAATATGAAAAATTGTTTACATTACAAGATCTGATTATATTATCATCATAACAGTTTTAATTATTACTCTTGGCAGAGCAGTTGTGTTCATGTGGAATCCTTGGCTATTAAAACCTTGACAGCTGTTTTCCATAGTTCGCCAACTGAGGCTTGACGCACGCAGGCGTTATGTGGGATTTTGGTACGGATTTTCAATTGATCAGTCCAGCGCATGGGGCTTCGACCACGAAGTTTTTTTTTATTGCATAGATGGGTGACAGACATCCACAACGTAAATGCCGCCACCCACCTTGAGATATGAGTTCTAAGGTCTCAGTATAGTTACAACAGCTGCCCCATCCTTCAAACCGAAACGCGTTCCTACTTCACGGCAGAAATAGGCAGGGTGGTGGTACCTACCCACCCGTGCGGACTCACAAGAGGTTCTACCACCAGTATAAAGTTATATATTACCAGTTATATATCACTCATATAATCTAATATGTATATAAAATTCTCGTGTCACGGTGTGCGTGATTGAACTCCTCCGAAACGGCTGGACCGATATTCGTGAATCTTAGCGTGCATATCGGTCAGGGTTGAGAATCAAACAACATCTATTTTTCATCCCCCTAAATGTTAAGGGTGGTCCACTCCTAAATTTTTTATTTTATTTTTTAAGACAACATTTTTTGTTTTTATTTTTTTATGATACAGCATACAAAAATACATACAACCCTATTTTCACACCTTCACGATCAACACTTATTTTTTATTTGCTAATTAAAAACTAATTTTTTTGCAAGAATTTTGTTTTTATTTTGTCATAACTTAGAATACAGAATTTCAAATTACATATAACCCTATTTTCACCCCTCTACGATCAACCCCTATTTTTATTTGTTAATTGTAAACTTTAATTTTTTTGGCAAGATTTTCATTTTTATTTTTATTTTGTCATGAATTTGTATTAAAATAAAAAATCTGATGTTACTCTCAATTTTTCATCCCTCTATGATCAACCCCGATTTTTTATTTGTTAATTATAAACTTAAATTTTTTGGCAAGATTTTTATTTTTATTTTGTCATGACTTAAAATAGAAAAAATCATATTACTTTCAATTTTAAATCTTATACGATCAACCCCTATTTTTCCATCCCGATTTTTATTGATTTTTATTCTATGCACAGATCCGCAATAAAGTTGCAAGATGGCAATCAAATATTATAATTGTAGTACGATAAATTCTTATTCAGATTTTATAATTTCAAGTTCCTTTAATTATGATTTTTTTTAGATTCTATTTGATCTCCCGCCCTCGCCGGTCGACTACTGATTAACTATCAATCGATCAGCTATCCCCGCCAGGTGTCATCACTCATCCAGCAAACATCACGTAGTAGGGATCAGGACGAAGCCGGTCTCCTGTATTACTCACTATACATCATTCAGTCATGTTTTTTTGGTTTTATTTCTGTATTAATAGTATGTTCAGTAGATCTGAGAAACGGCTACTATTTATTTTTCATACCCCTAAGTGATAAGGATTGTCCACCCTTAACATTTATTTCTTATTTTTTGGTTGTTTTTTTTATAATGAGTTATATGTGATTGAATAAGGTTTTTTTTTCTACACTAGACATTCCCTAGAAATCTTATATATGGCAAAACAGAATTTGCCAGGTCAGCTAGTCATAATGTAAAATACTTACCATTTGCAGTAGATCGTCTTGTCTGAGTAAATGTCGTTTGTCAGCCCGGGAGGCGAGCAGGCGGGCCGCACCGAACCGGGTGGCGCCGCCCGCCCCTCCCGCACCCGCCACCCCGCCGCGGGTCAGCCTCCTCAGGGCGGCGCGGAATGCCTGCACAATAAACTTAGACGTTACTATGTATCTCAGAATACGACCTTAGCTTACCAGGAGGGAGCCCTAAACACGTCATTACGGATCCTCCCGATCCATTAACGGTGCTTTTAGGTACCTCAAGCACCGGTTACCGTCCTCGTCGAACCCGTCGCTTGCGACGAAGGGCTCGACGAGTAAATTAACCCATAGACACAGCCCACTGAGTTCCTCGCCGGATCTTCTCAGTGTGTCGCGTTTCCGATCCGGTGGTAGATTTTGCGAAGTACTGCTCTTGCTAGGGTCAGTGTTAGAAACACTCCGGTTTGAGCCCCGTGAGCTCACCTACACGTCAAGGAGAAGCTGAAATAGCTTTTCAAGGCTATCAGCATAGGTAGGAAAAAAAGAGGGTGCTAGAGTTCCCCTATTAAAAAAATAAAAGTATCTCAGAGTTTCATTGGCTTTAAATCATGTCAAAGTGATTATAGTTATTTATCATAACAGTAATGATGTACATTTTTGTAAAAGCGATTGCTATGCCCATACTAAAACACAAATAGTATGAAACGCCATGCCCTGATGGTAGAGCGTATTGTAAGTCCGCACGGACAAACACGGACCTACACGCTATCTACTTCTGCCACCTTTTTTCCCCTACCTATTTGCTGGTAGCCTAATAGGTTATTTCAGCTACGCCCGGACGGATAGGTAAGCTCACGGGTTCAACCTGAGAGAATTTGTTAACACTAGCCCTAACAAGAGCAGTGCTTCACAGAATTTACCACCGGATCGGAATCGTGACCCACTGAGAGTCCGGCGTCTGCCACCAATCAGTGATGCGCTCCAGTTTGAAAGATTGTTTTTTTTAAATATTATCTACAAATATAATACAATGACGTTTTGTGTCTCGTCTCGCTATATATACAGCATGATGTTTTTTTGTGTGTGTAATTATTAATGATATAAAACAAAATACCTGTGTTCTTTCAGCGTCACGTTTTCTTTCATTTAATGCTTCGGCTAACGCCTCTAGTCTCGTCAAAGCTCTTTGTAAAGCCACACGGTCCGCGTGCCCGGGGGGCGTGTGCTTCAATAAATCCTGAACAACAAAAAAATAACGTAAAAATTAAACAAAAAACATTCGTTAGCAGAATCGCTGCGGTATTGTGCGCAGCGCTTAACCAATTGATTGTAGCATCGAGAATACACAAGTACGCGCATGTACATAAGCTTAAAGAAATTCTAAATTCATATAAGGTGCAATGATCACGAATGCTCACGGTTGCCGGTCTTTTTGTAATTGATTAATTTCGTTGTTGAATGTAAAGATAGTTTTTTTCTCACTGCGATCTTTTTATAAATGTCTTTACCCAACAAAATAGCGAAGAAGCACTAATGAGGGATGTAATAGACAAAAAGTAGAGTACACCGAGATATTATTATTATCTTATATTTCAAGATATAATCAAATGTTGTGGACATCTAGCGTGAAAGCGTTTACCTGTAAAAACATGATGAACTGCGGAAACCTCTGAACCGGCTTAACCATCAGCCCGAAGAACGAGAGTCTGTCGTGAGCACTAATCTGCTTCACTTTGAAGAAGTCGGCCAGCGCTGATTTCCTTTTCGACTCCATTTTAGCCAATTCCATGGCGACTGAGAAGTTATTTATGAAATCCGAATACACGTCCAGCACCACGGCCTTCGAGAATGCGCTCAAAAAGACCTCGCCTGTTGAAAAATTATAAGTTAGTCATTGTATCCGCGTGGGACGTAGTTGTCAATATCTTTTATCTGCCGAGAAACATTTTTTTGCGTTTTTTATTTATTTTTATTGCTTAGATGGTTGGACGTGCTCACAGCCCACCTGGTATTAAGTGGTTACTGGAGCCCATAGACATCTACAACGTAAATGCGCCACCCACCTTGAGATATAAGTCGTAAGGTCTCAGTATAGTTACAACGGCTGCCCCACCCTTCAAACCGAAACGCATTACTGCTTCACGGCAGAAATAGGCAGGGCGGTGGTACCTATCCGCGCGGACTCACAACAGGTCCTACCACCAGTAATTACGCAAATTATAATTTTGCGGGTTTCACTTTTATTACACAATGTTATTCCTTCACCGTTGAAGTTAATCGTGAACATTTGTTGAGTACGTATTTCATTAGAAAAATTAGTACCCGCCTGCGGGATTCGAACACCGGTGCATCGCTTCAACACGAATGCTCCGGACGTCTTATCTTTTAGGCCACGACGACTTCAAATCTTGTTTTAAAATCCTCTCATCTCAAACTTCTGTTTTAAAATCCCTATTGCAATGGATTAATCGAGAAATATCCTCAGTTAAGAGCTCCATGAGCTCACCTACTATCTCCGTTGCGCCGGCATAGCCTCTAAAAGCTACCACCAGCTTAGGTAGGGAAAAAAACGGGGAAAAAATAAAATAAGTAGTCCGCGACTTGGCTTGTGCCCCTGGGATTTCTGATATCCATATGAATATGGTTCTGTATACCGAATTGATTATTTCGCTGCCTGTAATGTCATTAAAAAATGTAAACCGATACCGGAAAATATATGTTTTTTTTTAGGTTAATGATTTCGAAAGTTTTGAAGGAGAAATTTTTGAAGAATAGGTTTTTAAAAATTGTGTTCGACTTTCCAGCATCAAATTTACGGAAAGAAAATGTGACATGAGTGACTCTGAGAATAAATAACGATACTGTAGTAATGCCCGATTTTTATAATCCTACTAATTATATAAACCCGAAAGTATGTAAGAATGTGTGGATGTATATTTGTTACTCTTTCACGCAAAAACTATTCGATGGATTTTGATGAAACTTTACAATAATATAGCTTACACATCAGAATAACACATAGGCTATAATTTATAGTGTGAATTACCCAAAATATAACGATAAATGTCAAGTAAGTAGAAAAAAATCTGCCATCTCATTTTCATAACCAATAATAAAATACAGTTCCCGAAGCGAAGCGAGGGCGGGTCGCTAGTATATAAATAAAGTAATTTATGGGCGTTTTTATTACAGAAATGTAACATCCTGTATGTTATTAGACGTATGGTTATTTCATTGAAAGGGTTTACAAATAAAGTGAGAATGTCGAATGCGATTATGTCGTACTAGAGTACTTTGTATCATTAAATAATTATCATCTTGAACCGTTCAAAAGTCATCGTGGCCTAAGGGATAAGACGTCCGGTGCATTCGTGTTGAGAGATGAATCGGTGTTCGAATCCCAGGCGGGTACCAATTTTTCTAATGAAATACGTACTCAACAAATGTTCACGGTGGCCTTGCACGGTGAAGGAATAACATCGTGTAATAAAAATTAAACTCGCAAAATGATAATTTGCGTAATTACTGGTGGCAGGATCTCTTATGAGTCCGCGCGGGTAGGTACCACCACCCTGCCTATTTCATGCGCTTCGGTTTGAAGGCAGCCGCTGAAACTAGACTTGAGACCTTAGAACTGGGCTCCAGTAACCACTTAATACTAGATACTAATAGGGTAGATACTAATAAACTACTAGATACTAATAAACACTTAATACTAGATACTAATAGGGCTGTGACGTTATTTTTATCGTCCACCCATGTAAGCAATAAAATATCGCACTACTCAACCGAGCAGGCATTAGATACGACTTAACACAAGAAGGCCCGGCGCTCGAGTTCGTTTAACCAACTAATGCACTAAATGTTTAAAAATAAATAAAATAAATATCGCAGAGTACTTTTCAAGCAATATATATATATACATATTTCAATATCAAACAATTGCCACATCTATTTTTTTGTGGTTCGCGTGAAATTTATTTTCGAGCTTTAGTAGTATGTACATCGCGATGACGCGACCGAATATATTTTTTTAAAGGCGCCACGTACATTTCTTTCGGACTACAGTTGCAGACGTGCAAAAAAATTAATGGTCCATAAACATTAATTGTGTCAACGAATGTATCATTTTTTAAATTTAAAAATCGTTCACTAACCGCTATATGCGCCACGCGTGCGTTCCTCATTTAATAAAATGACTAACGTTTGTGAAGTATGAATAAATCGATTCCAGAGATAAAAAAAACTTGTTTACGTAACTGGACCCGATTATGTGTGTTACAGTTTCACGGGAACACTTTAATATTATTGGCCTTTAAATATTCTGTACGTAAACTTTTTACTGAAGTTCCATGTTGTTTATATTGGATGGAGCTGATTAAACAAAACTGTAAACCATCTGTATATAAATATTTAGAACAAAAAAAAAACTTCAGAAAGCTTCGTCCGTATGTATATGGATTAAATCTTTTCCTTTAATAATTATTGACGTGGTTAATTGAGTTAAGACAATATGACAATAACAAAAAGACTATTAATGTTTTACACTTAATACGTAATTTGGAATCGAAATCGTGAGGTTTTCGGTGGTTTTCCGACGACCGGACTAATATAATAATAAACAACCTGAATATAAGTTCATTTTTTTAATAAATATGTAAACGCGAAATAAATATAATGACAATAAACGCGAAAAAAAAATAAAACATGTTGCGCCGACCCCAGGTGACTTGGAGAAGGGCAGGAGAATGAATGATGATGATAAACGAGAAATAAAGCAATGAAAGAAGATGCTACCCGTCCATGCGAATCACAAAAGCGTCAGCTGCTAAGTCGCGTTTTATTGCGCGCATTAAAATCTATTTTTTATTTATTTAATTTTACATGATATTCGTTGTAATAGTTGTACATCCCCAATAAAAGGCACGAAGACATCGGATGTAGTTTATTGATGATATGAAGCAATGAGGCGTTTTAGTTTGACAGTTAACGAATTTAAGTCTTAAGGTGGCCATTGTCATTTACGGAACACACGAAAAGACCAGTTACATCATCTACCTATTTAAGTACTTAAATAAAAGAAAATGTCGCGGTTTAAGACCTTTTGTTATTTGAGGTCGGTTAAAAAAAAACTAAAGATCTTCAATCGCAATCTTGTTTTTAAAAATGGTTACATAATATTAATAGAAAAAAAAAAGAGGTAGTTACCTATTTTTTCATCGCGGTCCCACGTCTGCGCACAGTCGGCCAGAGCGGTGCGGAAGTGTAGGTGGCATTGTAGGATGTCAGGTAGACGGTGGAATAACGTTTGTATTTTACTGGCGTTCAATATGGCCGGACTGCTCTCTTCGAGGGGCTTTTTGTAGTCCTGTGGAAAAACAAAACGATTTTTGTTCCGTACTTTTTTTCTTGCATAACTGTTAAAATAAATAAATAATAGACGCTTTTTTGTCTCATAACACTAAAGATATATTTTTGTTTGTTTTCTAAGCCCTATCGTAACGTGACGCTGCTAGGTAAATATCACGGTCCTATGATCGTTAATCCAAAATCATGAGTTTTTGATGTCAAGGCTGGCTGTATTCGGGTTTAAGAGTCCACTTGTTCCGGCAACCTCTCGATATGAAGAGGGCATAATAATATGATAATAAATTACAGATTTTCTTCAATAACTTAACCCACTACTTGATGCTACGTGTGGTTTCGCTTCAACATGTAATTTTTTAATAATTAAAAAAACAACAACAAAAATTAAGCTTCGCCTTGAAATTTACTGCAGAAATTATTTTCATCACAGATAGAGAGAGAGAGAGAGAGAGAGAGAGAGAGAGAGAGAGAAAGAAGAATGTAAACAATAAACACGTTACGTAATATTGTTGGAACTATAATTCTACCATGTGAAAAAGGTTGCTGTTGCCAACGGTTATGTTGTAAACTAGTATTTATTATTTCAAAAGAACATCACCAATTTACGATTTCAAAGAACAAGTCCTGCATCGAGCGTGCAATTATCCTGTTCTTAACCTATGTTTACGTTCGTATCGTATGACTATCTCATTAAAATATAATTCTCATAAATATAGCGAATATTCTGTATCTTAAGGAAAAGAAGATTACTGTCGCAAGAGGCTTCATTTATTTCTTGCGTTATTAATACAAAAGTGCGCCTGGAGATTTGACCATTCATGTACCAACGAATCGACAACATTTTTAAGTTTCAAAGCTATATCGGGCCAGAGGAACACAGCCAACTTTATATCTCAAACAAAAAGGTGCTATGAGGCAATCAATCGTTTGAATATGTACGTATTTCTCGTCTGTTATAAGGATGAAAATTTTATTAGTAAAATCACAATGCATAACGTCAGACCGCGCCATCATGTTATTTATATATGTTTAGGTAAGTACATACCTATTTATATTAAAATTATAAATCATTCTTCAACTGAGGAATAAAGTAAGTAGGAAATTAATGTATTTTTTTGTGAATCCTCACTGATCGTGATTGGATTGGAATGATGCGGAAGATTACATTTACCAACCTGTTCTTTATAAAGTTCATTTAATATTACAAACGGCCAGAACGTATTCGCTCTTATTAACACGCGTACATGATTTAGAACAACAAAAAAAACTGTGTACGACAGACAACAGAACATAGCAATTAAATACTAATTTTCACGGATTCACAATCTCTTCATACGCTAACGAGATACCTACAAGCAAAAACGTATATTCGTCAGAAATAACGTCACATCTCGAAATAGCTCGTGTTTAATGTAAATTGTAAACGCACACATTCGCAATGGACCTTGTAAGTTAAGCTTCATGTATTATTATAAATGCCGTGACTTGAGAGGAGAGGAATCAGCGGTAGCCAACAGTTTCCCTGTGCCACTAGTGTTGATGACGTTAATGAGATTGGTAACCACTTCATTTTGAGTGGTGTTGGGCCGTATGCTCGTCTACTGACGAGGGCAATAAGAGAAGACTTGATTTTGCTAATTAGATGTTATTACAATTTAATTGTGAAGGGTAATGTGACATTTCTTAATAGATCGCGTGACGGACTGCCGTGGCAGTTAATTACTGAAGATGCGACAAGACAACGTAATAACAATGTGAAACATACGCTTACAGATATTACAAACATTATTGAAGTGTTTTTTTTAAGATCAATTATCGATTATTACAGAAACAATAACACATACTTTATTTCTAAAAAAATTCTAGAAGTTTTGATCACAATGAATGTATGCGTAATAGAAGTTTTGTTTCTAATTGAAATTATACCAAAATCGATTGGCAAGTTTAAAAATTTGCCCACAGCCCTAATAACAAACTCGTAGAATTATTAACTCCATTTTGGGTAAATTGTGTCTTAGCTCCATTGCCTTTCAAGACTATGTAATATTACACAAAAAAAAAATGTTTATTTATCTTAATACTATGTGTCAATGTGTTTTGTAATGTAAGTTTTTTGCTTGGCCAATACCATTTTGCGTTATCGTTAAAAGTAGACAGCCAATTGTGGTGGTAACGCTATTAGCTTTCGATGATAATTGCGACTTATTATTGAATACAGAAAATGAAACGAATCGTTAGGTTGGAGTGTTTAGTCTATTTTATTAAAATCTATTTCAAAAACGAATTGTAAACTATTTACTAAAGGGCGTATGGAAACTTAAATGATAATGTAAAATAAGTTTTATGTACGGCACCTACGGTTCCTATCGAAAATAAATCGGCTGACGCTTTGGATTAGTAGTGTAATTAATGTGACACAGCGTGTGTCTTATTCCAGAGCCAAATGGTACATGGCATAAAATACATCTAAAAATGGACTGCGGATGTATGAGCGTATTGTTTGCAGGTAATATGAATGACCTCTGCTTCGGTAACAGGAGATTAGATGATAAAATGCATTCGACAGGATCATACAACATATTCTTCACAGCACTTCCTATGCAACATACGATACACAACACAGAGGGAACTTAGGTTCCACTGAAAATCCAGAGATAGAAAGATAATTAGAGCGGGATTATCGACAATACAAACGGCCCGCTTTTCAATGTTGTCAAATGGAATTACTGCACATGAGGCCGGACTAGCACTTTGTTAAACATGAGACTGTTCGTGAAGTACCGCTTCGCACTTTTTTTTCTACCTATGCTGATAGCCTTGAGAGGCTATATCGGCTTCTCCTTCACGTGTAGGTGAGCTCACGGGGCTCAAGCCGGGTGTGTTACTAACACTGGCCCTAGCAAGAGCAGTGCTTCGCAAAATCTACCACCGGATCGGAAACGCGACCCACTGAGAAGATCCGGCGAGAAACTCAGTGGGCTGTGTCTATGGGTTAATTCACTAGTCGAGCCCTTCGTCGCAAGCGATGGGTTTGACGAGGACGGTGACCGGGGCGCTTCGCTCTATTGAAGACTCCCGGTACTCTAAATTACTTCGATACAGCTATACTGAACACCGCTCGAAATATCGACTCCTTCGAATTGCGGTGTCACGACAAAAGGATCTTTCTTTGTAGTGAACGCGGACTGAACACCTGTTTCTTCAATGGGTTGAATTGAACTAAATTCAATTCCCCTAGTTTTACTGTCTATTTCTGCCAGTCTTGGGTACCGGTTTGAAGGGTTCCACCATTATTGCTCAATCTAAATGAAAGCATTGAGTGCGTAGTTTAATAAACAAATAATGTCGGCTTACGTTAGGATTAAACTTGTTTAAACATCAGATCTTATTTGTTACGTCTAAACGTTCATTATAAACATAAACAATAATTAAATACCGAACATATTGTGATAATTGAAACAATGTTTAACATTTTAACTCAATTTGTCTCCTTAGATATTGTACGGCAACGCTCGGCGCCATTTTCATTAGGGATACGACCTCGTTCTATTCGTACTTTATTGAAATATATCCCCACTTCTTAATATGCATATCTTTAGTATGCGAACATCAGACAAAACAATACATACGTGCCATTTATGTTTATTTCTAACTCTTCACTTCTTCATTTCAAACTCTTAATGGTCTTGTTAGCTACAAACTACAAATTTGCAAGGATCGATCAAATAGAGAAAGATAGAAAGTGGCTCTAAATATCATTCATATTTGTATGGAAAAAGTCAAAGAAAAAGCCACTACGTAAGGTTTGTTTGTCAACTGATTGTCAACTGTTTGTCAACTGATTTTAATTTTCTTTCAAGTGTACGTGTGTATCAAACTTTATTGTGGAAAAATAATTTTCCCTGGAAATATCAATAGAGCAATACAGAAAATTTAATATCTGAAACAAATCTAAGCCGTGGGGGTCTCAGTGATTATGGTCGAATTTTGATAATCGGGCGAGAAAGCTTGTTAGGTATTATTATTAGCCGTATTTTCACTTCATACTTACATCTACGAGTATAATGTAATATCGTTCAAATAAAAAAACGAATCGAACAGATCATAAATATCGAAGGCTAATAAAATATGGCATTAGTTATAAAACCAGACGAGACGATCCAGTAACGGTTAAATTTCCATAAATATTCGAGTCGACCTACGCGCCAATACACCAAACCCGTCCGACTTTTGTTCCGTTGCTTTTATTTTTTGATTGATAAAAGAATCACCTCTGAACAGGTATTCATTGATGTACGTTACGTAACGCGTCCGATCAGGTAGCTATCGAGAAGTCGGCGAACCGCTTTCCGAACCAGTAATCTGGTTAATAAACAACGTGTAACCACCACTTCGAGATGTTGTTTAGCAACAGTTACCGCACTGGTTAATTAAACGTCCTCTCAAGGGATCTCACGTCTGGTGAGAAAGAAAACAATAGTCCCGTCTTAAAGTAGCACCGATGTTTTCAATTCGATTCGGACACAGTTTGCGTTATAGTAGAAAGGGTTACACTAGTCATGATCGAATTAATAAAAAAAAAATCTTACACCATTTTTAATTCAAATTTATTAAAATTTATTTTCTATTTTTTAGTTGGATTTTCTATAAAAGCAGCGTATTTTGTTAGTTTTTTTTAAACTATTATTATTTTTTTAAATATTGAATTGTCATCGGTCCTTAATAAGTATACCAAATTTCGACTTCATCCGACGTTTTGAAGGAGTCAAAATCATGTTCAAAGATTCCGTTACATACTAACATACATACGTCTGAAGCTAATAAAAGCGTATTAAAATTGGCAGCTGCTTCTCCGTCAATCTAAAACATACGCCCTTCCCGATCGCGCATATTGCCCGAGCGACGAGAAATGGCAACGTGCGTTCTCAGAATGGTCAACACGAGATGTTAAAGATAGCCATCGGACCGGTTCTTGCACGCTGATACGTATTAGCGAGTCGACTCCCTTGTTGACAACGTGCGTTTGTTTAGCTTCACCATAATTTAAGGAAACAAATATCTGTAGTAGCTCGACTTGTACGGATAATCACCGACGATTTGCCAAACGAACGGTAACGATACGTTTGCCTTGTACACGTTAAAATGTACTACTCTATTCGTTTCTAGACTAGCACTGCTTTGTTTATAATCTATATATTAATACGTGAAGCAAAAACTTTGTACCTCTTTTTGCGAAAATTGCGGGGACGAAGAACGATGAAATTTCCCACACTTATCTATACTAATATTATAAAGAGGAAAGATTTGTTTGTATTGAATAGGCTCCGCAACTACTGAACCGATTTCAAAAATTCTTTGACTGTTTGGAAGCTACACTATTCCCGAGTGACATAGGCTATAATCTTTTTTGAAAAAATTAGGGATCTTTACTAAAACTCCAATAATCTAACCCAAGGTGTAAAAAAATTACCTAAAATATTCTTTGCATCGCGTACCCTGCGAAAACTATTGCTGATAGAATAAAATAATGTACTACGACTTTGTCGAACATATTATTATTATTAATTACAAAAAGTGTCGCGACAGCATATGTCTGCCTATTATAGTTATGCCGCAATAAGTGTTCTTTTACTTAAAAAAATTAAACAACGTCAAATTCGTTAAAATTTTTGTTAAAAACCCGAGCGGAACCGGGGCGTGCCGCTAGTAAAGAATATAGAGAAGGAGTGCAGAATGTTAATATTTTTTTTTTAATTACGCATAAGAAATACATTAAATCAATAAAAACAACATTACACACACCACCATGTATTTCACACAACACGCATGCATACTATTTGTTAACTGTCAAACGTTTCTTATTGCTTATAGTCTGTGGTCAAATTGAGAATAGATTAAATATTGTTTGTCTTTATTAATATTTGTCTAAAGTGTAGTCTTGTCGAAATCTGTGATTATAGAAGTATAATAAATAGTCTTTGACAATAGAATCATAATAGTGTACAATGTTATAATTTCAATTAATTATAGTCTAATTTCGATTACCGGGGGACCACTAGTAAACTTAAATCAATGAAAATAAATGTTCAAATAAAAGAATTGCCTAATAAATATCAGAAAGCTATTTAATTTTCTCGGTTTACTTACATTTACGAGACGCTGTAGAGTGGCGACGTAGGAGTTTTCACTGTGTATAATAGCAGCGACGACGTGCCGACGACGCAGTTGCACGGGCGTCAGCGAGTCCGGCGGAGGGCCCAGAGACGGCGGCGGAACTCTCCCTCCTCGAACCTCACCGCCGCACGAGAACAAATCCTCCTCCAGCTGAAAGCAAAAAAAAAAACTATTACCTATTTACCCTTCTTTCTAAACAAATCTACTAGAGTCCCTGATTAGTTAAACAAACGGAAATAGACAGTGTTAGTAGTTGGAATCATGAGTTGAAGGACATGTTGTGGCGCACAACGAATGTAAATTCGCTGGTACCGACCGACACTCGGTCACTACCGTCGCGTCACTACCGATTTGGATTCAGCAACACGCAAATGTCAAGAGTATCATCACTCAGAATTTAAAGACTTACGTTATAGTGCGTCAATGTATAATCGGCTTTATCATGGAGTATACTCATGCAAAACGGACAAAACATCTCTGAGCAAAATTCGAGTGAATTAAACAAACTTTTGACATTTACGTGCAGCACGTTATTCACGTAGTCTCACTAAAAATAAACTGAAGTAAGAAAATTACAATCGTATACATGAAGCCGGTATGGTAGCACACTGGATACCAATCTGACATCATTATATCACATGTTAAAATAGATTATTTGTTTAGCGTGTTGAGACCTCCGAGGCGACGCGACATACACGAATACGCGATCGTCTCGTTACTGCGCGGTTCGACGTTCAATGACTGCTCAATGGCCGGATCATGATTCATCTAAAATACTAAATGTGATTCACATGGTTTATACAATATTAATTGTTATTCCTGTGTCGTATTCTGTATTACGTAAAAGGATAACGGAATGAATATAGGGGTTTTGTTTGAATATCCTTATTTATTGTTGTGTTATTCTGATGGATACTTGTAGACTTGGAAGACGTCGTGGCCTAAAGGATAAGACGTCCGGTACATTCCTATCTNCATCTAAAATACTAAATGTGATTCACATGGTTTATACAATATTAATTGTTATTCCTGTGTCGTATTCTGTATTACGTAAAAGGATAACGGAATGAATATAGGGGTTTTGTTTGAATATCCTTATTTATTGTTGTGTTATTCTGATGGATACTTGTAGACTTGGAAGACGTCGTGGCCTAAAGGATAAGACGTCCGGTACATTCCTATCTAGCGATGCAATGGTGTTCGAATCCCGCCAGCAGGTACCAATTTTTCTGATGAAATACGTACTCAACAAATGTTCACGATTTACTTCCACGGTGAAGGAATAACATCGTGAAATAAAAATCAAACCCGTAAAATTATAATTTGCGTAATTACTGGTTGTAGGACCTCTTATGAGTTCGCACGGGTAGGTACCACCACCCCACCTATTTCTGCGGTGAAGCAGTAATGCGTTTCGGTTTGAAGGGTGGGGTAGCTGTTGTAACTATACTGAGGCGCATTTACGTTGTAGGCTCCAGTGACCACTTAACAGCAGGTGGGCTGTGAGCTCGTCCACCCATCTAAGCAATAAAAAAGAAAAAGATATTATTTAACAATTAACCTCGGGTAATTTGGGCATCTTGTCGGTTTCGTGCGAATGCATGTCGTACTGGTGCGTGGATCCCCTGCGTACGCTGAACCAGCGCGCCAGCCTCCCCCCGCCCTCGTCGTCGGGAGGGGGCGCGGGCGGGGTGATTCCTCCGCTTCGCCATCGTTCGCACAGCTCCCGGGCACGGCTGAGGGTGTTGCGCAGCTGTCCGGTACTTCTAAACAATAAGTCACGGCTTCAGCAATTCCGTTAAGATTTGCTTAGTTTCAATATGAAACTAATGGGATAGCTTTACAATAAATATTAAAGTAATGATGGTGATTTATGTTCACGTTGAATAAACTTATTCATTATTCTTGTTATAACGAAGTAAATAAATTTATAATATTCTTAAATCCATTAAAGGCGTAGTTGTAGTAGTACAAACAAGTAGTTGTTATTACAGTAAAAACGTAAAAAACAATACCTCGCAAGAGCATAGTCAGAGTTGCACGTAGGGCTTTTACTTATAACCTAATTAAATACTTCAAAATACAATACTACCTTCCAACATTTCAAATAGGTATTCACGTTTTTTTGCGATTAAACCAGGTCACTCCCCGCCTGACATTAAATGAAGTAGTCATAGGTACAACACAACGTAAATGCCGTCATTCACTTTGAAACATGAGGTTTTAAGTTTGAATTTTTTAATACAGCTTTTATAGGCGTGTACCTTTTTTTCCTACCTAAGCTGATAGCCTTGAGAGGCTATTTCAGCGTAACCTTAAGTAGTAGGTGAGCTCACGGGGCTCAAACCTGACGACGTTGCTAACGCGAACCCTAGCAAGAGCCGTGCTTCGCAGAATCTACCAACAGATCGGAAACGCGACCCACTGAGAAGATCCAGCGAGGAACTCAGTTGGCTGTGTCTGTGGGTTAATTTACTCGTCGAGCTCTACGTCGCAAGTGTCGGGATCGACGAGAACGATGACCGGTGCTTGAGGTACCTAAAAGCACCGTTAGTGGATCGGGAGGATCCGAAATGACGTGCTTGTACCTTTAAATCAGAAGGCATTACTGTTTTGCGACAGAAATAGGCAGAGTTGTGGCAGTACCTAAGCAGACTTTTAAGACACCCTTCCAGTTTAATTACAAATACGTGTTCGTGGAGTGACCGTGCTTAACCCTATAGAGGCGATTAAAATTTTCAGAAATAAAATACAATTGAAAGCTATTTAGCACAAAACAAGTGCCAACATACTTAGAAACATTAAGTCACGTTAATACACGTGGCTGTAATATTCGTCATCAGCTTCTCAAGAGCGCGAATGTGTTTAATTAAAAATCATGCTATCGAGATGGTTGAATGTTTAGCAACCATAACGTGAAACGAACCGTGAAGTTTAAAACATAAGGATCTCTCGTCAATGAGCCATTGCAAATAAAGATTTCACTTTAGTAATTAATAAAACATTTACCAGTCAAATTAACTATCCGTTATATATCTTTACTATTTAGTTTATCGTATCATAAGAAACTGCAACTTGTTATATAAGAGACTTTTACTTTTATATATCCATATTTTTTTTCAAATAAGCTCTATGTTCACCGAATGATAAAGGCTGGTGAGGGAAGTTGTGTACTTAATGATTGTAGCTGTGTCGTCTTCTAATTATTGTAATTAAATCTATTTTTATGGTCATATCTCGCACTTTTTATTGTCGTTATATTACTTCCGACGCCTCTAATTTTTAAAAAGTTTTTTGTGGTCACGGACAACTTAAGTGTTTTGATACTAATTCGTTGACATTTATTTAAATCTATTCTCATTATTATATCGTTTCAACTAGAATGTAATTGATACCGAAATGATAGTGGTAAATATCTATTTCGCTGTGGTTTTGTAGTAAACAGTTAAAACTAACTATTGATCAAGAAACCACAATAGAACAATTATGTTGACAAAGTGCTCTCAAGTGTCTGTCTGAAGGTTGCCAGCGGGTAGGTACGAATAAAAAAACAATGTTTAATGTATGAGTTGGTATAGGCAGTGAATACATTAGATCGCATTTGGTAATGTGATGAAAGATAATAAATATTGTCACTGCGGTTGCCTCACTCTGAAAGCAATCTACGTAATGCAATTTTATGATGTGGTGTCGGCTACGGTACTTAGATCGAATTTAGTTTATGTAAACGCGGTCTAGTTCTTTGTATTCCTTTGTTTTGTTTCTACGAAGTGGCGCAAACATTCCAAGTACAAAATTGTCCAAGGTTGTTTTTTTTTTTCATTGTAAAAACAATGCGAATTACATTCGTACACGGAGCCTTAGTGAACAAGACGGGTCTCTTATTTCCGTTGTTGAAAAATATTAATAATGTTTTGGAGACACATCGCAAATAGAAACCAATTCAGCCCAAAATGTCCCATCGGATGGGAGAGGCCCTTATTGGGCTGCGATTCTGATCCGGTGATAGATTTTGCGAAGCACTGTTCCTGCTAGGGCTGATGTCCACGCGAAGCTGGGATAGTCCCTTCCTTAGGCTACGAATTAGCAAAAAAACAATTCATAGCATAGATAAAATGTCCGCTGAGTTCTTCGAGAGATGTCATACTTGATATTAAGAAGGTTGAGATATAAGAACACTATGAAATTAAGTAACTAAAAGCATTTTTTTAAAATAGTACCACTGTTGTTTCTAGTACGGAACGTGACTGTTTGACTGTCATGTTACAGTGAACAGTATCAAAACAAATTTAAATCGATGTTCTCATGATTGTCGATGTAACGACTAGAGCTCTGCTTTGATCCCCGGGTCAAGTGATGCTTGCTTGACTTTTCTGGCCACGACTCGACGATTACTATTAGCGATTAGCCAATTAGGTATTACCTTATGTTACACGGAGCCGCGAGACCCTTTGTTCGGTTAACAGGCGTATTCATTTGACTTGTTAGATAAGAAAATTACCGACATAGTAACTTTACAACGATTACGTCACAAATTTTGTAACGATACGACGAAGACGAAGCGTAGGTAGGTCTTCCCTGATTTAAATGCACTAGAGGTCCAACAGTAGTCGAAATTCGACTATAATTAATTGGAATTGTAAGTTTGTACACTATTATGATTGTATTTTATACCTCTATAATCACAAATTTCGCCAAGACTACACTTTAAAAAATATTAACAAAGGCAAACAATATTTAATCTATTCTCAATTTGACAACAGACGCCAAGAACAAAAGTTTGACAATAAATAGTATGCATGCGTGTGTGCGTCAAATACATGGTATGTAGTGTGTGTAATGTTTTCTTTATTGATTTAATGTATCTTTTATGCATTATTTTTAAAAAAATATTAGCATTGTGCACTTCTTCTCTATATTCTCTATAAGTGTGGAAAATTTCATACTCCTCCGTCCGCGCAATTTTCGTAAAAAGGGATACAAAGTTTTTGCTTCACGTATTAATATATAGATGTTCATCTGAGGACGGTATGCTTAGTGCGAATTTTTTGACGTTCTCGATAGCGTAAAATTTAGATCATATTTGTATGGAATGGGATAGTTTGCGTACGTTTGGCGCTAGGGTCGATATTCCAACTGCATACAAAATTGGGTTAACTTTTATGTTATAGAGAACGTTAAGAAACTCGCACTAAGCACACGGAACGTGGAACGGTATGTTTTTATCGTAGAAGCCTCATATGTAAAGTGAAATAAAATCTATATGAGAAACGCTAATGGTATCAGCGTTGAACTTAATTGAACAGACAAAACAGAGCCTAATGTAGTATAGCATAAAGAAAATGTCGAAACAGCTATTTCGAAGCTATTTCGAATTCCTTTTAAATAAATATCTTCAAGTTCATAGTCAATAATTCCGATTAATCTTAATTAGATCTCCAAGCTTTACATACGTGCCTCATAAAATTCAACAAACAAAACCGTTCGTTGAAAGAGCGCATGAACGCAATTCATAAGATAGAGACGTCGCACTGTCTGCTGCATTAATTCCGTTATCTACTGTAATGACCCGTCATATCTGTTCTGGTGAATTTTGCTTTAGATATAGAATTTTATTGCTTTAGACGTACCCAGCGAGTATTGTGTGGTTTTCTGAGCCCAAACACACACATACTGTGTGATTTCCGTCACGCACGTTGAAGCTTGGCCGAATTTTACAATGTCATTATATGTGTCCTGTCTGTTCTGGTGAATTTTGCTTTAGATATAGAATTTTATTGCTTTAGGTGTACCCAGCGAGTATTGTGTGGTTTTTGGAGCCCAGACACATTATACTGCCGCCACGCACGTTGAAGCTTGGTCGAGGTTTTGATTGGAATGCTGCATTGTATAATGGTTGTTGTACCATATAAACCGGTACGTAAAACTGCTTCGCTGTAGAAATGGACATGATGGAGGTCTACCCTATCATTAATTACGCATATTAATATTATTTTATTAAACGTTTGGATTTTTTCATCGTGGAAGTAGTTTTGGTGCTCTTAGAGGAATATTCATTTAGAAAGAAAGGGATCTCTCAAGGAATTCAAACCTTTTTGTCTGGCGTGGTTGCAATACTGGACTTGTGTACAACGGACATCACACGCATTATGCAAAGACCTTAAAAAACTCGTTTACCTAATTATTTTTATCTTTATTGGAGAAATAAAGCCATTTTCGTGAAAGTAGAAATTTTAATTTTATATTATTGTTGACACTTGTTATTAAAACAATTGTGTGTTGTTAATAACACTTTGCATTTACCTTCTACGAATAAAAACCCATTTAAATGCGTTTTCCCCTTGTTCCAGAATACGGTTAACAAGTGTCTGACCTCAATGACAAAACAATCACCATTAATTATTTCAAATTACGTTAAATTGCGAAGATATCTGTTTTTTTTCTGTCGAATAAATGTTAATTGAAATCATGTGATTGTCGTCAATCTGGTATTTGATTACAGACTATAAAGTGAATTTTGATTCATTCACTGAATTCAGTGGTTTTTCGCTGAACCTATTAATATTAAAGAATGTATGGGTAGATTGACTAATGTTTAGTTAATTGGCATAAATGCGAAGTCGTGTTTATTCGTATTGGTCTTGTAAGGATGCAAGAATATAGGCTTATATAAAACCAAGGAGGGAGTGTCACCGTCTAGCTTGGGACACAGGCAGAATCAGACAACTACAGAATTTGCGGAGACATCTTAAGAGCCCGTATGGGTAGACTAGCAACGGCAGTGTTATTCTTTCCGGTTCGAAGGGTGGTCCAACCATAAAACTGAGCTAAGACTTCAACCTGTAAAAGCCAATGTGGCTGGTCCGAGGAAAATAATGATGAAACGAAAATACATAAGACATCAAAGAACGTATGAAAATCTTTAAAGAAACATTAGCGTATTATTTTTATGAATGTACGTAAAATGTATTTCAAATTTTTACTGTGAAATTTTATCAGCCTTCATTACTCAATGTTGTATCTATCGCTGGAGCGCGCATTCAACTTGTTAGCGCAGACCTTGGCATAATTTTTACTCGTAGTAATGTCGTATCATCTGTAATTATGAATGTTAAAGGTTGAATGTAAAAGTACCTTATACGCAAATGAATAAAGATACATTTATATTAACGATAGATGAGGCAAAAAAAACATACAGTTTTATTTGTTGTTTCAAGATAATTCTAGAGTAAATTTCAGCAATGCAGAATGATTAAAATTAAATTGAGATAATTATTATATACCCGCAGTATCTAATAACCAATAATCATCGATCAAATTCATAAGTTAGATTGAATTTAGTCATTTTAGAATTAATGTTCTTAATGAAAATTTAGATACGTATTTAGTGAATTGGGCTTCAAATTGAACATTTTAGAAGGGCATATATTATGTAATGGCACGGACTGGTACCCCTCTTGCGTGTTTAATGTTTATATCCTGGGGCGAAATAAGTTTAACCTTGGAACATGAGCAGAATCAGGCAGGCGTGTCTACATGCGTTTATTTTGAAGAATACAGTGGTCTTATTCCAATACGATTGAGGCTTCAAGGTGGGCTAACCGTTTCGTGATCTACGGCAATACAAAAATATATTTGACTTGAAACATTGAAATAACCGTGCTGAATGTGTCGCCGTTTAAGAAAATAGTTTATTCTAAGTGTTAACATATACATTGTAACGGTATTAATGTAAGGTCAGGCAAGACACTGACACAACGAGCTGCAAGTTGAAAAGTATAACATTCAATTCAGTTCTTGAAGAAACAATGAACTAGTTTTCGCTTGTGACCTACCTGCATACAAATGCTGAGAGCCATATAATTTAACTATGATGAAAAGAAACGTCTTAAGCATAAAGCACTGTCGGTTTTTGAATAAAAGAAACTTTCGTGTTCTAATTTCGGATTTATTTTCCGATGAATCGAAATCTTTGAAGTTTCCGTGGTATTATTTTAGGTCAAACAATAAAACAAAAAAATTACGTATGATACAAGAATGAAAAAACTATCACAGTATCATGTTGTTGTTTTTTTATTGCTTAGATGGATGGACGAGCTCACAGCCCACCTGATGTTAAGTGGTTACTGGAGCTCATAGACATCTACAACGTAAACGCGCCACCCACCTTGAGATATAAGTTCTGAGGTATCAGTATAGTTACAACGGCTACCCCACCCTTCGAACCGAAACGCATTCCTGCTTCACGGCGGAAATAGGCGGAGCGGTGGTACCTACCCTATGTCTACTACTATTTTCGTTAAATAAATTTGTGAGTCAATTAAATGGGTAGCCGAATTATCGATACACGTAATAAACAATAACGATTGTGATTTTTTTGTTGTGTCCTTTTTAATTTAGTTGTAAATTGAACTACATTTATACTTAATTTTGGAAAAGTCGCTTCCTCATACACCGACTACACTGTACTGGTATCTTATATCCGTTAGTCATTTAGTCAGAAAATTAGTTAAATCATGGTTGCGGTTGGGAGCAACGCGTAATTTGACGTTCGATTTAAAATACAAAGCAAGAACTTCGCTATGCACATAAAATGAATCACAGTTCACTGTAAGGGAATTTTATTAGTTGAAACTCAATCAGTTTTCCCTTTTCTTTGCCCATCGAAGCCTGTGGAACACTAATGAAGTCTCAATAAGGACTTATTAGGTATGATTATGGTAATTACGAAAACAATAGACGTCGTGTTTGAAAGCGTGAACGATCGTTTTGTCGGAGGCAGTGCCCTCTAGTAGCCTGTTGGGTTTGAAACACAGGAAATTTGTGTTAATTGGCCTCGCGGCGCTCGCTAATTGTCCGTCGCGAGCGGACCACACCGAGCAGACGACACAGGAAGTCGCATGCCCCAACTGTCAACAATTCACTTCGTACATACTTGCTACATGATCACGAACGCCCCGAGTTGTTGTATATTCACAAAATTTCGGTCAAGTTAATAAAGTTATCGAGTGACTCACTAACGAAGAATTAAAATGTGTCTGCGGATGAGTTTCAAAGTAAAAGTTTTATTATCTGTTGTTTGTAGTATTATTTTCAAAGATTACATCACAAGCAAAAAGCAATTTCATTTTTGACGTTACGAAATATACGTACCTATCTCAAATAATGTGAAAACCAATACAAAACAGACATAAGTAGGAATAATAAAAGCTTCATATTACATTTGACCCTCGTAAAACCGAGTATCGCTTCTAATTCCAGCGAGCGTGATCAATCATAGTTGGCTGAGACATTGGTGGCTTCCTGTGCGTCTCGGACGTTAAAACCACTTAAAATCGTAATAAAGAAGTAGTAAAATTCAATTTTATTGGTTTTAAATGAATTATTTTAATACGTATTTGAAGTCATACTAAAAAAAAAAAAACTACTATCTTTATTCATCCCGTATGCCCGTAATGAAAATGGACCTTTAAATAGTTTTACCGTGTTTTTATTGGAGGTAAAAGTGAATTACAAAAATTTTATTCTCTTTCTTAAACGAAGCCAGATAATAAAATAACGGAGAATGTGCAACGCACGGAGCAAATATGAAAAAAAAAAAAGAGTAATTCAAAGCGGAAAACATTTTAGAAAACTTTAAATATAAACTTTTCATAGAGGGAGTAAAACGAAGATAAATCACAACCGATAAAATCCACTATAAGTTGATTTATTACCTGGAGTCCAGCGTGGAGTTGAGCCTTTGTGAGCGTCTGAGAGGTGCATTACGCACCGCGCTCACGGGCTCCTCCCAACTGCCACCCGCCGATCGATGTTCATCTATACAAACAGAAATAGTTTTATTATAGTAGTCATGAAACTATGTCCATCCCAATCAAGACAATGAATAGCTATATGAATGATCCAATGTTTTATTAAAACAGATACAGTCACATTTGTATATATCCGTTTTGTTTTTAATACTTCTTGTGTAAATAAAGTATAGTTTAAGTTTAATTTTTTAAATTAATTAAATCAGCATTACAAGCCATTTAAACTTTGCTATCTTAACACAAAGGAAATTTATCTCATTTTATTATAGAAATGACTGAAAACCGGGTAATCGGGACAATAATGAAAAATAATAATAATTAAATACAATAAAACCGTTATATTTATTAAAAACTTGACAGTGATAAGTTTTAGTTCATACATAAATATGTATAATGGAAACTTCCATAAAGATTTACGGTACATACATACATGTAAAGATTTTTAGGTAATTAATAATAAATGATAAATAACTAACATTTGTTTTGTAGAAGTGACCTTTCTCAACCAGCACATGATAAGAAAATTAAAAAAATTCTACGTAGCTCACAGCGCACTCACACTTAAAGCATTTGTTATAAGAGTATATTATAAAAACATTTATAGAAGAAAATGCTTACAAATGTTTGAGGCGTGAAAGTTGTAGCATCTATAGATTTGAATCCAAGCAATGTTTTGGAACCAAAGCATGTTAGGAATATAGATAATGTAAGAATAATGAAACAATAAGAATGTGGACAAAGACTGGAATGGAATTCTTCTGAAAATCTGAGAAAGCGTGCTAAAACAATGAATGGAGATTTGGCACGAAACTAAAATGAACTAGTTCATGAAACTCTTTAATAATAATATTATTTTACTTGTGTGCTTTCGCCATATTTATGTCTTTGTTAATTTCTGCTAAATGTTAAGGGAGATTTAAAAAAATATATTGGAATTTGTGTTTGGCTATGTCTACTTAATAGCGCTCTAACAGTAGGCGGTGATGGAATGAAAATGATGGGCGGGAAGTGTAGCCAAAATAGTCACATTCATCAGGAATCGTTATGTAACAAGGTAGAGTTTCATATTTTCATTGCTCGGAGTTAATACGTTAGTTATGTGCTACGCGAAGAAAATAAAACCCAAAATCATCAAAATCAACTGCACCACAAAGGTATATATAGAACTCTAAGTAGAATTATGATATACTGGAAAACCACACGGAGAAAGAAAATGAATGACTATATGATGGATAACGCACAACTTAAGACGTTGGATCAGGAAGAATTAAACTGTAATATCTAATTCTTTATTTTATTATTTTATTAGCGGCCCGTTCCGGCTCCGCTCGGGTCTTTAACAAAAATTTCAACGATATTTGACGTTGTTTTATTTTTTTAAATAAAGGAACACTTATCGCGGCATAACTACAATAGTTAGACATATGCTGTGGCGACACTTTTTGTAATTAATAATGTATTCTACAAAGTCGTAGTACATTATTTTATTTTATCATCAATAGTTTTCGCAGGGCACGCGATGTAAAGAATAATTAAGGTAATTTTTTTACACCTTGGGTCACATTATTGGAGATTGAAATAACCCTGTTTTTTTTTCAAAAAAGATTATAACCTATGTCACTCGAGAATAATGTAGCTTCTAAACAGTGAAGGAATTTTTCAAATAGATTCAGTAGTTTCGGAGCTTATTCAATACAAACAAACAAACAAATCTTTCCTCTCTATAATATTAGTATAGAAGTATAGATGTGGCATCATCTTTATTTATTTATCTTATGACAAAAATTCTGGTACTCTTTTAAATTATTTTATTACATTTTTGTATGTGTATTACAGTCACAGCACTACTTTAAAAACACTTAAATTAATAAAAATGAAATCGCATTTTATTTTGCGAGAGCATCTTGAGAAATATTTGCGTTCGGGTCACCCTGACCGGTAAAGGTACAAAAACAAACAGGTAAAGTGGAGAAAAAGTGATCGTTTGAAAAAAAAAAAAAAAACAAAGGGCAACCAAACGAATGAGGTTTCATTGCTTACGTTATGCTATTGACATTTTATAAAATACGTTAATCGAATTTGAGACCTTGAAAACATTAACGTGGGCGTGGAAGACTAGTTTTGGATGTCACTTGTTACTTAGCGTGATCCATTTGTTATCGAGGTTCCATTTAAAACGCGACAATTAAAATATATTAAGTCACATTACGAAAATAACTACCAACGCATAAAAAGGTTTATTTAACAGACATTAACAAATTTAAAGTTATTAATTTTGTGTCAGTAAATCAGGTAATTCGTTGTTAATCAAATTCTGGTATTTGTAATACTAATACCTACATAAAATTTTATTGTGTTAATAAATATATGTATCTATATTATATTGTAGCAGTATAACTCAAATCCATTGGTAAAATGTTTGCGAATTTTTGGGCACACGAAAATGAAAAAAACGATGCAATTTATATTTCTACTTTTCAAGGCGATGTGGATCACTTCATAAACACCCAAATATATGGTACTACAATCTACTATATCATTGTAGGATTTAATTTTACAGCCCACTTGTTGGTTAATGGTTCACGTCGCTCATGGACAGCGACAAAGCCACAGATCTGTGGACAAAGCCCAAGGCACCGCTAAGTCTAAGCTTGCCGCTGATGATTATTTTCTCGTTTGTAAAAAGACCTGTTATGAAGCCAATTTGAATAGGTAAAAATTTCATTTGTGCCGTATTTCGAAGAAGCTTTAAAATGAAACGCATGATAGCGTAGCAGAAATAGGAAGAGCAGTGGTTACTACCCGTGCGGTTTTTGTACGACCTACCATCAGTAAATGTGATCACAGTGTATTGGTAGGTATTATATTTGGAAAATACCCTACCCATTTGACCGATGAACTTCTTACTCGCCTTTTACGAAACACTACAATGCAATGAAACTTCTATGTACTTCCTGAAGCCACAACAACAACTTTTGTGGTGTTTCGTCGGCTCTAATGACACGTTTTGAAATGAGGTTTATAGATAGTACTTTACGGGGTGACGCTACCTCTGATCTTATGCTACTTCATGGTGGGACGCCAGTTCCTCCATCTTAGAAGCCAATAAAAGAAGATTGCCTAAGGCTCGAATTAAACTATTATTATCTCTTTTTCAAACAGTTTAACTGCTGCTTTTATAGATGACTGTACCTAATAATAAAATGTATGTATGTATATTATGTAACCTTAATGATAGCTACGATAGAAATACTCAGTCAGTGAGAAAAGTTGAAAAGTTCAATCATATAAACATTTGTGTTTCCAACGCACCACAATCAAAAGAGAATAAATAATTCACACTCGCATGTGCAACTGGGTAAATTAAAGGTTAGTTAGTATTCGTACTCGAGAATGTGAGAAATCTAACATTAATTACATCATTACTAAATGGTAATATTATTTTCTTAAATTCATAAATAAAAATAGAGATTAAATCTTTGGAAGAAATGTCTTGTAAAACGAAAATCGAACAAGTACCTACCTTCACATCTGTTTAGTTCAAAGTTAATTATTAAGACGATATAGAAACTTAGTATTAATATCAACACCCATACGCCAAAAATCAAGGGCAATTGTAGCGTGGGACGACGACTTCATGAATAAAATAACTATGACACAAAATGGACCCGCATTACCAATATAATTACCTACTCAATTTGTGTTTCTTTATCAATTTGTTCTTGAATTTCGTTATTTTATCACTTTTCCTGGCACGTTTCGCTTCAATGTAACGCGGTCTCGTATCCATCATGTTGTATTTACATAACAATTTCACAGTTTTTAAGATCAAGGCCTTTAACACTTATAGTTGATTTTATTTTCTACGTAGCAGTCATTTTAGCCGCCGTTCGGGAGTTGATCTTTGAACACAACACTATGTCAAATGTTAACAACGAGTGACGTGTTACCGTGGCTATGTTTGATCACACACTAATGAAAAACTGAATGAGCGCAAATCATGTTTGTTAAGTCATTTGTTATAAAACCACTTGACGACAGCGCGTTTGCAGTCAGTCAATTATGATAGTCTTAATGTCTCCGTGGTATGAGTATTATTTAATTTTATTTTCTGAATTTTCTCAGGCTCCGTCTATTTAATAATCTTCTGTGATCGTGTCTGTTTTGTTCATTTCATTAATATTTTAAATATTTGCAAAAACACGTGGAAATTAATACAGCGCGTTTGCAGTCAGTCAATTATGATAGTCTTAATGTCTCCGTGGTATGAGTATTATTTATAAATTTCGAAAAATTTTCAGGCTCCGTCTATTTAATAATCTTCTGTGATCGTGTCTGTTTTGTTCATTTCATTAATAATTTAGATATTTGCAAAACCACGTGGAAATTAATAACTTTCGAAATTTAAGTGACACTTTTATTACTTTGAATTATATTATTAACTTAGGATTAATTTAGTTTTATTGCTATATTAATATTATGATTATGATTAAGTCATTAATTAATTATTTCTTCAAAGAGTTTCTTTATTTTATTTTAATGTGTCATTAATATCATATAAAATTTTACATATATTCATATTTTAAATTCTTTTTATATTTAATAAATTATGTATTTAAATTACTTTCATTCTCCGATCGAAATGATGTGTTCCATTTCCGTTCCTATCATATTCGAGACACGAGAAATGAAATGAATTTTAGGATGAAATTCGGAATTACCTTAAACTTTGACTTTCATTTAGATAACAGTGTATTGCAACGTAATTCATATTGACGTATTGATAAGTGTAGACTTTGGATAGTAGTTATAGTTTGCACTCAATCACTTCAATAACATTGAGGTATTTATAAGATGTTGTATATATTGTTATAAGAATATAGCTTAATGTGATATAGTATGACAATATATTTTATAATAGTGCAATTATCGTTGAGTTATTGTGACATCTCTTTTTCTCTTTTGAAAACCAAACAAGAATCCTTGACTTTTTTGTTGGCAGTGTAATTTCAAAGGTTGTAGATTAAAATATAGAATCCCTCTTACTCTAAGCTCTTACTAGGGTTAGTGTTAGCAAAGTTTTCAGGCTCAGCTCCGTAAGGTTGCAAGCGACATGTCCGGTGGACCCGTCAAGGTATCTTAGCAATAGGTAGACAAAAAAATAATAATAATGCAAAAACTTTTTTCTTCTTCTTGCCCTAATCACACTATGTGGGGTCGGTGCAGTATGTACTCTTTTTCCATTCAAGCCTATCTATCAAACGTCATCTCTACACTCACATACTACCCTTGCACATCCTGTATTAAATACAGTTCATCCAAGTCTTTTTAGGACGCCCCCTCCTCGCATTAAAATGCGAAAATATCTAACTGTGATTCATTTCAATTTGTATATATATAGCGTTTTTTAAATGCGAAATAAATAAATATTATGATTATAAACCTTCGCGGGTAGTTACTTTTTTTTAGGGAATGAAGGATTACTTGTGACCCGGAGGCCTTTCCAATTTCACCAGGGCAGGTCGGCGAGCAAAGGCTCAGCCAGAACGAGATGGGATTTGCAAACAGCTGCCCGAGCGCCTCCAAAGGAGACTTAACAAGTCAAAAGCAACTGCTTGGCGCGTGAATCTACTACCGAATCGGAATCGCCATTCGCTGAGAAGATCCGACGAGAAACTCAGCGCGGGTAGTTTTACCATTGCATAATTCTGTGCGAACCAGCAATGCAATCCTGTTTGAAGAGTGGGATAGCTGTTCTACTATACAATTGAAATTTACTCTTCATGGCCTTGAGACGGCAGGTGACGGAACTTAGGCAGTGATCGGCTCCGATAACCACTACACATGGACTACATATGGTGGGCTGAGAGCTCGTTCTAACTAGTCTAGCTTAAAAAAAGAAATATGTACACCCATGAAATTCTAATAGCTTATGTATCTACCAAGCCGAACTTATTACTCGCTTAGAGACCAGGCATTATTATTGAGTTTACTGGTACAGATAACCTCATTAGATGAAACACTGACCTGTTATAAGTAAATAATGAAATAGCAGGTCCGTAACGAGATTCGATTTATGTTCGGGCTGTATCGAGAGATCTCAGTGTTGCATTAGGTCGAGATCTGAGAAGCCGACCGGCGCGCCCCGTCACTTTGGGGCTCGGGCTTATTGTTTGAACCGTTCAGATATTTATGATTCATACGGGCTGAGCGAGTTTTCAGATAACTATAGAGCAAATAGGGCGTTACACGCGAACAATCGCGACAAGCCATTGTGAGCTTGACACAGTTCCGCAACATGTGCGTCCGTGAAAATCCCGCATAGCTGATTAACTACCTTCACTGAAGTCAATAACATCAAAAATTATACGGAATCATTATGGTTCCTTCATGAACTAATACTCACAAACATGAATGAATAATTTCTATACCATAAATTCACTACGTATTAATGAACATACCATTAAAAGTTAATAACGTTAGGTTTTTTTGGTTAGTTCGCGTGATTGGCTGTTGTGACTTTCTTCCGATCAGACTCGGTGTTTTAGGAATTCCAAGCACCGGTCACAATTCTCATTGAATCCAACGAATGCTACGATGGATTCGACGTGGACACACAACCCACTCTGTGTGTATCGATTCAGACCCGGTGGTAGATTCAGTGAAAAAGTGCCCTTGCTAGGGCTAGCATTAGAAAATTCTCTCAGGTTGACCCCGTGATCTTGCGTACGAATCCGGGTCTGGTTGAATAGCCTTTTAGGCTACCAACGATTACAGGTAGGAAAAAAACGTGACTTATGTTTTTTATTTGCCCAGAAGGGTCGATATGGGGTTTTTGATGAAATTCGTTGCCCGATATATTGAAGACTCACTTCATTTGCATTGGAATAAAAACTATCATTCAGACCGGAACACATGATTGCTTCGCATCGAATTAATTAGTACTGTGCGGCATCAATTGCTCACATGTAGATCACGGTATATACTTTAAAAAAATGTTGTGGAAATATCTTGATTGAACAATTGGCTCATCGAATTTGTCGGTTCACCAAACAGATAAGGGCAATAGGTGGATAGAAATTTGTTCAATTAAGTTTGTTCAGATGGTTAAGAACGTCACTTACAATATAGGGGCCAGGCCGTGTGTTACCACACATGTTAGGCAGCTGTTTAATATTCTAATTCTTCATTCATTCGCTCTATTGGCAGTACTAGGTTAAAATAATAAGCCTATTGTGAAAGCATTTTCGTCTTAGATACGGTTCAATATTTTGTGATAATGGTATATACATTTTAATACGAATTTAGATGGTGTGATTCACAATACAATTTTTTACAAATTGCCTTATACTCAAAATTTAACTGCATGCGTCGATGAACTCATGCCACACCTGGGGTTAAGTCGTTATCAGAGAACAATGACATTCCAACGAGAATGCCGCCACACATCGCGGATATAAGGTCGAAATCTGAAATGTATTTTATGACACCTGTCCCACTCTTCAAACCAGATAGCATGGCTCCTACGCGGCAGAAATGGGTAAGATGGTGGCAGCCACCCGTGTGGGCTCACAATAAAGTTTACAGATTTCAATGACCAATGAATAACGGTAGGCAGGTTTTGGCTCTGTCCCTAGCATTGCTGACCTCCATGGGCGACGGTAACCACTCACCAGCAACTGGGCCGTATGTTCCTCTGCCTGTACGGGCAATAAAAAAAAAACAACCTAGTGTTTATTTTGCTGAATATCATTGTTTCCATTTACCTATTTGTTTGAGCGGTTCTTCTGACACTGGACACAGTTTGACTTTATTGACGACGATTACCAATGTGAACTGCATCGTTTCACAGTACCGTAGTAGCACTCACAAACACATTCCGATTCATTCACATAACTGCACAACATTAACTTATACATCGTCCGTTACGTCTACCACACGTCAGAGTCAATTAAACACTAAAATATTCTGTTTAACATAGCTGTTGGTCATATGAGTTGCATTTACAGTCATATTAGTAGAGGAATTAATAAGAGCGGCCGTCTGCGTCACTTGTCCCATTATTATTAGCCCTACAAACAAAGTTAATTGTAAATGCGCGCGGCTCCCGCATCAATTGGGAGCGACAGCGCAACGGGAGAACTTTAAAACGACGGAAATAGAATGGAATCGTTATTTCTAGAAATGGCGAGCAGAATGGTGTTAGGCGAATCGATTGATCGGTGTATTGTGAGCGAAAGCAGAATAAGATTATCACGGCGCTGACTCAAACATGCACAACATCGAAATAAACATATCGTGCGCTCCAAAAATACACTAAAACGCATTTCAGAGATGATTCTGCGGCCATCTGCCGGCCTTTTTTTTTTTTTTTTTTTTTTTTAGGNCCTAACAGCTCAAGAGTAGCTGCTTCGCGAATGAATCTACTACCGGATTGGAATCGCGACCCGCTGAGAAGATCCGGCGAGAAACTCAGCGAGCTGATTCATGGGTTAGGTTGCACGGCGAACTCTTTGTCGAGTTCGACGAGTACGGTTACCGAGGTCCCTAAGCCTGCTCCTAGTGTTAGAGCTGAAGGCGTCTAATGCAAAGGTTATTGGATCTGATGGATCCGTAAGGACGTGTGGCTTGCAGTTGCATCATTATCGGTCTATACGATTGCGGCTGTGGCATAATGTTAAATGGTTTAGGTGGCGTGAAGACGGTGAACCCGGGAACTTCAGGTGGCCCACGGGTCTGCTGTTGCGGCGTATATGAATGGCGTTTGTCAGCGTTTTCATTACATTGTTGCAAATAAATTATGTTCCTCTTGGACAAATTCCAGTGCCTTTTCAATTGTATTGGGTCTCATACATCGAATACGTGACCCCAGAGGTTCTCTAAGCCCTCTCACAAAAGATTGTATAATTCATGTTTAGCCTCAATCGTTTTTTTTTTTTTTTTTTATGTGCCTATCTGCGATCTGTCCTGGACTATGAGCAGATCCGTTGCGTGTGCCATCGCGTCGAAGAGGCTCCTCACCAGGAGACTCCTCATTAATCACCATCTGTCACCAACTCCCTGTATATCAGGACGTTTCAGTCGTTTAATGTAACTGACTTTTGTCAACTCATTAGCTAGGGTATTTGGGTGGTTTTCCAGCCGAGTTCTGTACTTAGTCCCTGTCAACCTTATCTCTTCCTTAACAGTTCTCATGTTCATGGCTTCATGGATCTCAGTGTTTGTCACAAACCATGGTACGTTTGCTATGGTTCTTAAGATGCCATTCTGCATTCTTTGCATGATATTTAAACTGGAGTCGCATGCACTTCCCCACAGTTGCAATCCATACGTCCATATTGGCTTCAGGATCATTTTGTAGATTAGGAGCTTATTGTCAGTGGAAAGCTTCGAGTTACGTGCCATCAGCCAGTAAATGTTTTTGAACCGCATGTTTAGCTCATCTCGTTTTGATTGGATGTGTTTTTTCCATGTCAGTCTTTTGTCCAGGTGCATACCGAGGTATCTGACTGTATCACATTGTGGCAGGGTGATATCGCACATTTTTACCGATGCGCAGCTTCCTTTCCTAAGCGTAAATGTTATGTGG